ATTTTGAAAGGGCAGTTTTCAATTATTCATGTTAGTTAGAATTTAGGGGCAGTTTTCAATTATCCAAGTTTGTTCGAATTTAAGGGCAGTTTTCAATTAACCGAAACATAAATTTTATCGGGCAGTTTTCAATTACCCGGATTTAATTAAATTAAATCCTAATACACTACACTACACTACCATTGAGTACAATGACACTACCATGACACTGTATAGTAGAAATTATAACAAAAAATCAAATTTTTACATTTTGGCGCCCTTATTTATTATTATCGCGTTGAGAGTGTATCAGGATTTAAGTTTTTTAACTTCAGGATTTAATTTAATTAAACCCGGGTAATTGAAAACTGCCCGATAAAATTTATGTTTCGGTTAATTGAAAACTGCCCTTAAACTCGAACAAACTTGGATAATTATATAGGTATACTATAGTATTGTTATTGAAATTTAATACAAATTTATGTATAAACTAATTATTGCATGATAAATACAACTCAATTAAAATGAACGTAGAATGACTTCAAAGTGGTAGTACTCTAGAACGGTCGGTTCGGTATGGCGGCGATAACTTAGCCGGGTTCGGTTTTTTTGCCGGCCGTTGCGGTGGACATTGTTCGGTATTTTTTCTATAATGTCGTACACAATAATTTTGCCATCGTTCACGAAACACGGGACCGGTTTGCTCGGGCTGCGCCGCGGCATCCAGCAGCCGAGTAGCAACCTGCATGAATACATTTCGCTGCTCTTCGTGCTTTCAGAACACGCGGCCCGCCTTTTTTTCGCCTTCGCTGCCCTCTACTCTCTCTCTCGTGCGCTCCGCGCTTTTTTTCATATCTCGGTAATTGACAATTCAATTCGGCCGTTCTGCGAAACGCTCTCTCTCCCTCTTTCTTGCTTTGCGCCCCGTATTTTGTTCGTTTTTCTGCCCGGTGACATTTTTAACTTAATTTGGCCGACTGGCAGGCTTTTTACCGCCGCGCCAGCCAACAACCTTAACTTATACAGAACCGGAATTTCCAACCGAAATTCCAACGATTTGGCAGTTTAAGGTACCTACACCCACAAAAATACGATCATTTTAATTTAATTAGATATAGCATGTAGAAGTTATAAAGAAAATAGTAATGTAAACAGAAAAAAACGTTGTGTTTTTTTTAGAAAAAAACCAAGGGGTTTGTTTATTTTCAAAAATTTTGTTTTTTTAGAGACATTGTTTTTCCTTAAAAGAGTAAACACTTAAATCTGAAAAAATTTGAAACTTTTAAAATGGTCGTTATTTATAATAGAGGTTTTTAAATAAAAACTTGCTTCTAAAATGAGTGTCTATGAAAATTAAAAAAAAATTGTAATAGATGGCGCTGTAATTAAAAAAAATCAATTTTGTTCGATTTTTCTTCTGTATACGATTCTCCAATAATTTTTGAATAAAATACTTGGTTTTATTTTTTAAATTTATTTATTTTTTAAATTTTAATTAAAGTAGGTGCTCAAAATGGTGGCCTTCCCAAATTTCTAGATAATTCTCGTGTGCTTGCATGAGGATTAGAGGCCGTTGCTGCTAATACATTAATTTCATTATTTCCACCTGTGACTGTTGCTCGACGAACTCTTTTTTTCGATTGAACACTCCCGTTTGTAGTAAACTGCTTGACTGTACGGTGAAATGAAGTACGTGATCGAATTTTATCCGGAAAACGCTGAGCGTAGATATTATCAGCATCATCAAGATTCCTGCTTGCTTCTCCATAAATCAAAATCATTTCTATTTTTTCTTCCACTGTTAAAAAATCCATTATGAATAACTGCTTAATGAAAGGAGGTCTTTTTGTTTGCAAATTAATTTTCGAACTAAATTGATTAAATAATATGGGGGGCCATGTGTTCCATAATTATTTCGTACGATATATAAAATATTTTGCAGGAAAAACTATATATAAGTAAAATTTACTACAATTTTGCATATATATTAAAAATAAAAGTTTTATATATATTGAATTTGGCACCATGCGAAGTTCGATATAAAACTCTTTTCGTTTAAAAAGTCCCCGAGCGATGGCGCTACCTTTCTTTATGATTTGTATAGTGTGTTGCATATACTTTATGAACGTATTCGAATTTAAAAAAACATCTTTCGCTCACGTTTTTTTTAGATAACGGCGGTTGGTTTGTAATTTATACAGCTGTAATTATACTGTTCATCGATATTATTAATAAAAGGTAGGTATTTTAAGTAATTATTCTTTTAGAGAAAGATGATTTTTTTAAATTCGAATACGTTCATAAAGTATATGCAACACACTATACAAATCATAAAGAAAGGTAGCGCCATCGCCCGGGGACTTTTTAAACGAAAAAAGTTTTATATCGAACTTCAATATATATAAAACTTTTATTTTTAATATATATGCAAAATTGTAGTAAATTTTACTTATATATAGTTTTTCCTGCAAAATATTTTATATATCGTACGAAATAATTATGGAACACATGGCGCCCCATAAAATAATGCTAAACTATGTATAAATAGTTGCTTTATACCTCAATAATAATTATTATTTATAACTAAATACCATTTTTTATACCCCAATTAGGATTAAATTAATTAATTGACAAAAGAATGGTTTTTTTTTACCTTAAATAAGGTATTTTTATTAAAAATAGTACAATAATCCTTTAAATTAAAGGATTTAATGTTGACAGGTAAAAAGTGACCATGGTGCGCAATTGATAATTATCACCGAATGAAATAATAGCTTTGTTCGCGGAGCCCATCCATGACTAGTTCCGTATCTGTATAGGGTAAATAATCACGAACCATGCTACGCATGCGCGATTCGGAACCGATCAAGAATTAACAAATCTCCGCGAACGCGTTTCTAACAGCAACCATCAGTCAGCTGTTTTGTGACAAAACTTTTTGGGGAATCTCCTTCCTGATAATTATAGTATTCAGAATTGCTAAATCGCTCTGCTAAATCATCAACAATCTCTTTGCTAACTCGAAAATGCTCCCTAAATAGCTGATCATCGAACATGGGAACAATTTCTTCAAAATATGCAGTATTTTTAGGAACTTCAATTAAATCTAAACTATTTTCTAAATCTTCATCACTGGATGATAGATGATCACTCATCTATAAAATAAGCAAGGAAATGAACAATGCAAGTAAAAAATAAGTATTTCCACTTCCGTTTTCGTTTAACAATTTAATTAAAAACAATATAGAACATATAACCTAAAATAAACTTTAAACAATAATGAACAATAAGCATGTCTGACAGCTAGTACATGCTAAAATCCTCGGATCGTTTTGACTTGTCAGTAATTAGTTCGAAACTGGTCCCGAAGGCTCCGCGAACGAGTGATCAAATGTCAAATGTTGCCGATTTTTACACCGCGAACGCTAAAATTGCCAGTGCGCATGCGCAGTTGTCGCGGATTGATCACATGAGCTCCGCGAACAAAGCTATGTTCGCGGAGCTCATCTGTGATGTATAAAACTTAAACCAAAGGAAACTTAAATATTAGTTAAAAAATCGTGGGTACTTAAAAAATTCAGATTTAATTTAATAAGATAATTATTACCAAAAAAGTGATATTTTTTAGAAAAATTATTGCAGAATCGTATACAGAAGAAAAATCGAACAAAATTGATTTTTTTATTACAGCGCCATCTATTACAATTATGAAAAAATGTTTTAGACAAAATCTACCTATTTTTAGTCGAATGATCCGAATCTGCAATATAAAAAATAGGGTGTTCCATTGGAAATTTTAAAGTTACCCCCTGTTCCCCCTATAAGCAGGAAAGTATGAGGACCAATTTTAGTACTTATTGATTTCCCCCCTCGAATCATTTAATTTTTATTTAAAAATTTTTTCGTAAAATGCATACTAACTGAGATATTTCAAAGTTTCAAGTTAAATGACTCACCCTGTATATTCTTATAAGAAAAAAATAGGCCTAAATAACCTACATTACCTACTATTCAAAATCACAATAATCAGAATCAACGTCAAATTCTACAATCAAGTCAACTGTAGCTGTGGTATCTTTGTTAGGTACTATTATTATAAAAAAAAAATTCCTAAAAGTTATTTTTCGAACGTTTTTTTATTTTCAAATAAAAGGGCTATAAAACTATTTTCTCGAAAAACACGTAAATTGAGATATAAGTTGAAGTATTTTTATCCAAAAATTTCATAAAGATTAATAAAGGCGTTTTAGAGTTAGGTTTTTTTACACTTGTGCAATAATTATGGCCAATACTGTATATTTTAATAAAAATCAATTAACACGTTTTCATAAAATGGACGAGTTTTGACGTTTTGACAAGATCATTTCTGTTCATTAGTTCTTAATTAAAAACATCCTCATCCGAAATTTATAAATAACCATCTTATTTAAACTCTTCCTGTACTGTGTCATATATTTTTTTAATTATATAAATAGCCGCAGCGGAAATGTTGCATTTCTAAAATAAATCGGTCTTAATAAAAACAACTTACGTAACTTTTTTATAGTGTTTTAAAATAAGGTAGACATTTTTTGAACGCCTTGTATAAAACCGCATTTTAATTGTCATTGACCTGCCTGTGTTATACGAGCAGGTACAATTTGAACCCCTTTTTTTATTATAAAAGCGCCATTATCTAGTGCCCAATCAAACAAGAGAGTGTCTCACCCCATATAACTTCCTTTCTCTGTAAGGCCTCTGATGGCATTTATACCTCGACCCTAATTTACATTTTATTATAGTTGACACTAAAATCAAGAAGCTAAACGTGTCTTAGTTTTTATCTGGTAGTTTTTTCGTCCTAAACCACCCCTATTAACATTTTAATTTTAAAGGATGTAATTGTGGAGTGCTCTACACGCGCACACACTTAAGATTGTAATGTAATTCAATATTCTTTTATTAATAATTATATGCATGGTGGTCTCTACCCTTATGTATATAAGCAAAATTTTAACATCTAACACTCAGTTTTCTTCCAGATATGGTCCAAGATGTACGCCGTACAAAATTTTTATGCCACAATTCTTATTTGCTGTTTAGTCATATTGGATCTAATCTTAGCTGGTGAGTTTTTATTTTTTATATAATTGTTAAAAAATCTACCTTTATTATACTTAGTGGCATAAATTTAGGAGCCGATTAAGCAAGTCAAACTAAGACGAAAATCTAAATGACTATTTTTTCTAATTAGGTATGTTTAAAAGATACATGGTGATAAAGTGTTACTTATCATATCAGATTTTTTTAATATAACTTCCACTATGGTAGACTTGGAAAGGTGATATTTTGCGAACAGTCACTTACTACCAAAACACATATTCACAAATAATAACAATTGTTTAAGTGAACGCAGTGTCGTAAAAACAGGGGTTGCTTCAGCTTATTGTCCCATACAAACTTTGAGGTTAGGTTTTTATACCATTTGATGCAATTTTTCGATTACTCAGTTCGGCTAATATTAAAAAGGTGTACCTCTCAAACTTCGATAAAATAAACCGTTTCCGAGATATTCGAGATTACAATAATTGTTATATTGCATTATTTAAAAGTATTAAAAGGTATATGATAACAGTGAATGTGTTTTGGTAGTAAGTGACTGTTCCCAAAATATATAAGTACATAAGTAATTATGAAAAATATTTATTTAGGTTTTCGTTTTATTTTAACTTGCTCAACCTTTTCCTACCCCTGTATAACATCAAAAATTTTTAGATAATGAATATATGGTGTCAAAAGCAGAAACGATATCACTGGAACCACAGTATGAAACAAAGTTGACATGCGAAATGAACATTGAACCGGACAAATTCCAATGGAAATTTTACCCCACCTCTGACTATTATAACCCAAAGACTGAGATAGATTTAAGTACATCGAACTACAGGCTAAAACCTGACAAGTTTGAACAAAATTTAAGAAACGACAAGCACGCGAGACAACGAAAAAAATCATCACTGCCAGTGGTGGTAAGTCACCTTACTAATTGGGTCATTTTCAAGAAACACCCGCTTTCAGGAAAATGAAGATCAAAATTTTTTTTGCTTAAATTGACTTTTGGTTGGATTTTTATAAATGTTTACTTACATTTAAGACAGGCAGTGCACTTTTTAAATTTTTTTTTACGTTTTTTTCAGAAAAATGTTTTTAGCTAGCTTTATATGTCTCCACTGTGTTACCAATTTTAAATCCAAAATTTAATTCAATAAAAAAAGTTGTTATAAAAATAATTTGAAATAAAATGTACTTAGTTCACAAACTTTTGACTCCAATTTTTTATTTTATTTTTTATTAAAAATTGTATGCCTTTTTTAAATATTTATGTTGGTTAAGTTACTTTTTAAAAGACACCATTCCGATTCTTTGTTAAAAAAACAATACCATTAATATTTTCTTTTAGTCACTGTATTAGTGAGTTAAACTCAAATTTACAAACAGGTATAACCAAGTGATAGTAAAATCATTTTAAGGATTTTTTTAACAAAAACTAAAAAAAGTAACGAAATAGACATAGGTATCACAACGGACTGGGGTACACAAAGGACTTAATCAGATAACGTAAAAAAGAAACTATATAGGGTGGTACGATTTTAGAGTAATGCATAAACAAAATCCCTTGTAGTGGTGCTCACTTGCAGAATAACAACTTAGATTTCTAAATTATAGACACCCTTTTTCTTTGACTATAAGCTGGTGAAGGTCTTTCGTCATTTTTAGTACTTGTATATTGCGTGGAATTTTCCCTTGGATGTAATCTATATCATGAGCTGTAATCACAAATAATTTTAAATTGGTTTATCATAAACTACTTTTAATAAAAGTGACGGTAAATATCCACTTTGTTGTCGAAAAATTCTATTGCGTTACCCTAAATTCCATTGTGTTACCATAAGGTAACGCAATGGACTCGGTAACGCAGTGGACAAAGTTTTGTGAAGTCATTAATTACTCACAATGAGCTTTACTGCCCTAAAATAAACATAAACATGAAAAATAGTATTTTTTCTTACCTTATTTTTATTACTTTTTTGAGTAACTTAGCGCACAATTATTACATTCGCGTTACCCGCACCTGTTTCAACCGATATCTTCTTCCTGATTGAATAAATAAATTCAGCTAGGTAATGTGTACGCCCAAACATGATTTGTTGATCACGTGAGTGCCAAAAAAGTTGCCATTTGTTTTTTTAAATATTCTATCGGTAACGCGACGGACGTAACGCAACGGAAAAAATGTCTGGGACATGAGTCAAATTTAAAAAAAGTAGATTAAAATAAATTAATTTATATATAAATTGTTTACTGTATTAACTAAGGATGTTATGGATTGCTATAAAGCAACACAAAGTTCTGGTTATTCAATATTTAAAAAAAACATGTATGTAAGTTTTATAAAACGCTAATGGGACATGCGAAAATGTGTTTCACAAGTTTCAAAATTAAAAAAAAATTATTCTGAAATAACTAAACAAACATTTTCTGAAAGAGTTTACTAAGGGCTTGTTAGGCTTTCACTTGGTTTTTAAATCAATAAGATCCGATAATTTTTAACAAAGTTATTGGAATTCAAACTTACGGACAGCGGAAGGCGGGTGTTTTTTGAAAACGACCCAATTACCTAAAAAATTTCTCTAATAAACATGTTTACAGGCTGATTCCGAGTTGGTCGCTGGAGACTACCAATGTTTGGCGTATTATGGTGCCTCGGTGATAGCTTCGGTACCATGGAGGATTACCATGGCCAAATTAAATAAGTTTGCCTACCAACCCAGCGTGGATATACAGGTGGTCGAAGGCAATACTGTCTCGTGGAGGTGCCAACCTCCAGAATCGAACCCTGAGGCATACATAGATTACTATAGGTGGGTATCATACTTTTATTCAATATTTTAATCGATATATGTAACGTTTTTTATTGCAGAGGCGATCAAAGGATAGATCCACCATTTTTGAAGCCTCGCATTAAAACAATGCTGCTGCAAAATGTCAGTGTAACTGATAGTGGTAGATATAAATGCACGGCGACATTGAATATCAAAAAGTATACCTCTGACACGACGCTTAGTTTGAAAGTGGTGCGTTACATGGAGCACATGGAGCCAACGTTCATAATAAAACCGAAAACTTTGTATACGGTTGTTAAAGGTGGCACCGTGTTTTTGGATTGTTCTGCGGTTGGTAACCCTATACCCAAAGTGGTGTGGTACAAGAAGACCGGGCAATTGCCAACAGACAGAACCGAGTTCGTATCTGGTGGTTTGAAGATTAAAAATGTCACCTTGAGCGATACAGGGGTGTACGAATGTAACCATACTAACGACAGGGGTACCATTTCGCACCAAATCACCTTGATGTATAACGAGGAACCCACAGTTAAGTGTCAGATGAATTTAACTGACGTTAAGCAAGGAGAAGCGCTGGATTTCGACTGTGCCGTAACTGGAATACCAGAACCCAGTGTAACCTGGTTACTGAACGGGTTTTCGGTTAAAAATGATAGCGGTATTGAAGCAATTGGTAACAAAATATATTTCAAAGCAGTGGAGAAAAGGCATGCCGGTAATCTACAAATATTCGCCAGAAATTCCGTGAAAACCGTCTACAGCAGCATAAGTATACGCGTGGTACCACTATCTACAAGCGAAACTCAGGTAACCCCAAGCAGACATAACCACAGGCACACCAACAAAATGAAGAGTAGGAAAATGAACGGCAAACATGGTAAAAATAAACCCCCCCAGATGGTACCACCAACAAAACCGGTTATAACGAGGGTTAACGACGAAACCGTCATGGTTAGGTGGTCGGTACCCATTAACGATGGCTTACCCATACAGTTTTTTAAAGTGCAGTACAAAGAGTTTGGTCCTTTTAACTCCACCGAAATACATAGAGGAAAAGGTAACATTTTGATTTTTTTTTGGTAAAATTTTTATAGTAGTTTGTTTCTAGGCTGGAAGACCATGAATGCAGACATACCGCCCACAATTAAGAACCACGAGGTACCCAACCTAAAACCCGACTACATTTACAGGTTTAGGATTTCAGCTGTCTTCAGCAATAACGATAACAAGCAAAGTAATATTTCCGATAAGTTTCACCTGAGAAAGCTTGATTTCGACGATAGAAACCCCTTACCGGTCCCTATATTAACTGAAACTGAAACGGTCAACTCCACATCGATAAGACTTAACTGGAAGGTGAGTTTTTTTTCATGTTATTTCTTCGCATTTCAGGATTTAGGATTTTTCGAACGTCTTCTTTCTTCTCCTTCTTTCAGTCTCTTTTGTCCACTTCTACACGTAGGTCACCTTAACGTTTTTCCATTTAGTTCAGTTCTGAGCTAGTTTATACCAGCCCTTTCCTGCTCCTTGCTCGAGGAACTCTTTTTTTCGGTTGAACACTCCCGTTTGTATTAAACTGCTTGACTGTACGGGGAAATGAAGTACGTGATCGAATTTTTTCCGGAAAACGCTGAGCGTAGATATTAACAGCATCATCAAGATTCATGCCTGCTTCTCCATAAATCAAAATCATTTCTATTTTTTCTTCCACTATTAAAAAATCCATTATGAATAACTGCTTAACGAAAGGAGGTCTTTTTGTTTGCAAATTAATCTTCGAACTAAATTGATTAAATAATGCTAAACTATGAATTTATAAATAGTTTCTTTATACCTCAATAATAATTATTATTTATAACGAAATACCATTTTTTATACCTCAATTTATTATTTTTATTAAAAATAGTACAATAATCCTTTAAATTAAAGGATTTAATGCAGGCAGGTAAAAAGTGACCATGGTGAGCAAAGGAAACTTAAATATTAGTTAAAAAATCGTGGGTACATATAAAAATCAGATTTAATTTAATAAGATAATTATTACCAATATAAATATACAAAAATTTGAACATTACATTAATGCTAGTTTTAAATTTTAAAGTGGTAATTTTTGCATTAAAAATTTATCGACTATCATTTAAATGAGTCTCTACAAATTTAAACAAATAACTTTTATTTTTAACAATTTTAAATTGATACATTTTTAAAACAAAATCTATAACTTTACATTTAAATGTAAGTCGATAATTTTTAAATTACAAAGTGTAAACGTAGCTTTAGTAGAAGGCGCAAGAGTCTGGGATTGGAGCCACGATGCAGCCAGTTTGATCCGCAGTGTTGCCAAATCGTGCTTGCTCCATAAATATTTAAAGCGTTTTACAAATTATGGTAATGAAATGTTTCTTTGTTACATAAATTTAATAATAGAACAACATTTTTAGTGCCTATTGTACTACTATTGTAAGTAAATTTGACAATTAAAAAACATTTTTTCTAATTTTTAAGAGACAATTTTTTTAAAATTTAGTGCCACAATATTTCGTGGATGCATCATACAAATTCCCGCTTTCCGGCTTTTGTGGTGAGGTTAAGGGTTAAGCCTGATTTATAGATTGTCTTCCTTCCTTCCTCCCTCTTCCCATAAAAGATGAGCAATACGAAAACCGTAGTGCCGTTTAAAGATTCCCGTACGGGATTGTATTGTTCATCTTTTACGGGAGGAAGGAAGGAAGGCAATCTATAAATCAGGCTTAACACACTTAATTTCACCACAAAAGCCGGAAAGCGGGAATTTTTATGATGTATCCACGTAATATTGTGGCACTACATTTTTCTCTTAAAAATTAGAAAAAATGTTTTTTATTTGTCAAATTAACTAGTACAATAGGCAATAAAAATGTTGTTGTTCTATTATTAAATTTATGTAATAATACGATAATTTCAAAAACGTGTCAAAAATTTATGGAGCAAGCACGATTTGGCAACACTGCGGATCAAACTGGCTGCATCGTGGCTCCGATCCTAGACTCTTGTGCCTACTAAAGCTACGTTTACACTTCGTAATTTAAAAATTATCGACTTACATTTAAATGTAAAGTTATAAATTTTGTCTTAAAAATGTATCACTTTAAAATTGTTAAAAATCAAAAATGTTGGTTTAAATTTGTAAAGAGTCATTTAAATGATGGTCGATAAATTTTTAATCCAAAAATTACTACTTTAAAATTTAAAACTTCATTTAAATGTAATGTGATAATTTTTGTATTAAAAATTTATCAACTATCATTTAAATGAATCTTTAAAATTTTAAACCAATAATTTTGTAGGATAAAATATTATACTAAAACTTTTAAAAATCAATATTTTTAAACCAAAGTTTTACAGTTGCATTTTATATTTAAAATATTTTTTGAGTTTAAAAAAATTTAACTTTATAAATTTCTGTTAAAACATAATTTAAGTGCTAAACTTTAATCTTTAAACTTTTATCTTTTATAAACTCTGTTTAAAGTGGATCTTTGTTTTTGATACGTTTAGGCCTACTTTTTGCGGTGTTGTCTTAGCATTTCTTTCAGTTCTTTTAGAGCGTAGATGGTCTAGGCGCTTACCATCATACATAAATACCTTTATTCTCCCATAACAGTTTTTTACTGTTACTTCGTTCATGTACTGTGTTTTTTTTAAGTTCTTGTTGGATACCCTACTTCCAGTTAGTATATCAAACATTTTGTAGATGCCTCCCACACAGAGCACCAATGTTACAATTGAAGGTTTCTACATTAGCTACCTTTCGTCCAGCCAAGCTGGCGATTACATGACGGCAACTGTAGATGGAAAAAACACCAAATCCTACGTTATATCGCATCTTCAACCTGATATGTCCTACGACATAAAATTGCAGAGTTTCAACTTCAGAACTGCCAGTGAGTTTAGCTCCATACTAAAGGGAAAAACAGCAGGTATTAAAATTAAAATTTTCACCGCATTTTGCGACTTAAAATAATAATTTGTCTCTTCTAGCAATCCCAGTACCGGTAACTGTAACCCAAGTTAACACTGCGCCGGCTAGTAACTCCTACAAAACGGATTCAAGCCAATTGTACATTTTCGTGGCCGTCGGTGTTGTTTTGGCGGCATTACTGATCATAGCCATCTTTGGTTTGGTCGTGTGCCGGAAGTGGAAGCAAAAAAAGAACCTGAGTAAGTTGTGCTCGCCGATGGCGTCCTTGCGGAACACCCTTAACTGTTTTCTTCTTCAGATAAGAACGACAAACCTGCCGTTGAAGAGCACCACATACAAGCGGACTGCAACGATTACGTGGTGGGTACGAAATCGTTGCCCAGGACAAACGGTTGCGCGTTGCCAGGCAACAGGATTACCATCACGTCCAATCCGCTTGCAGACACGGACAACAAGGTAAGCCACTTTATTTTTAAGTCACTTGATTCGTCAGTTTCTTTTTTCACTTTATGTTATGTTAGACGATTTTTTTTGAAATTTTTTTTGGCAATAGAGACGGAAGATGATTTATGAACGAGACTAGGTATTAATAGCAGCTTTTCCGATGTTAAGGTATCGAAAATATTTTTTGTTTTTTTTTTATTTATTTTTTTGATTAATCGTGTGAATAAATTGGATTAATCATATAACCTGACAAAATATGGTGAAATTATACGAACAGGAAAATTCTCCCGAAAACGTGCATTTAAAAATAAATATTTTATAATAAATTAATTAAAAAATTTTAACCAAACATTTTAGAACAACATTCTACTTAAATGGTGGGGAATAACGTAGAAAAAACACAAAATAATTTGTTTAACTGATACTTTAAATAATTATTAAAAGTATCACTTAAGCAAATTATTTTGTGTTTTTATATTTAATTATAAATTAATTGCAATATATTTTAATTTAATAAATGCAGGTTTTCTAAAGGATGACCCACATTTGGATAGAGTTTATCGAAAAGGAACCAAAAACTTTTTCTGGGGTAAACAAAATTATTTGCAAAATAACTCATTTTTAATTCTGCTCAAAAAATTAATAATGATTTGGGAACCCTCTCAATCCTTTTGAGAAAAAATCCAAATGATTATCATTATTACAAATTAGTTATTTTACAAATAATTTTACTAAGCCAAGGAAAAGTTTTTGGCACTTGGTTCCTTTTCGATAAGCGTTATTAAGTACTCTAAAAAAAAGTTCTTGCCGATATTTTGCCGAAAAATGTAAAAATCCCTCTTAAGAGTCAATGAGAAAAATTGTGTATTATTATTATTAAATATAACGCTTGGCACTCTCTTATTCAGTCATTAAGAATGTATTTTGATTTTTTATTTGCATATTTAAATTTAAAACTATTAAAGTCAAAAAGTTAAAAGTAAAGGGCCAAGGTTAATGCTGCGCGGAATTGTGCTCAGTCATTGACCTTGACATTTAGTTGAATTTAATTTAAACATATACAACATAATATATTATATAAACAGTAAACCCTTTGTGGTTTAAATTAGGTTTTTGTTTACTTTTTTTTGCCCATAAACCATAGAAGTTCTTCAACAACCTGAAAAATGTCAAAATAAAATTTGTTTAAATTATGGGTAAAAATCGGCCAAAACTTTTTCGAGTACTTGATATTTGAACTACCATTTTCACCAGTTTTGCTAACTGAAATTTTTATTAAAATTCATAACATTTTTTTTGGGTTTAAAGGAAGTATTAATACCTAATGCGAATTGTACATAAATATTAATAATAATGAAATAATTACCACAAATACAAAGTTATTATTGTAATATGAAACAAACAACAACATAAAATGTCTATGTCCCACCTAGGGTTTTAAAAAACGGAAAAAATTGTGAATTTTTCAAAAATATTATAAATTTTTCAGAAAAATTGTGAAATTTTCAGAAAAATTGACTTGCATTTTTAAAATTTTATTCAAAGGGTAATGCGAAAGACAATTTTTCTAAAAATTTCCAAATTATTACGGATAAAATTCATACACTGATATCGAGAAAAAAGTTCATTTCTGACGTTGATCATATAATATTATGATTATAATTTTAATTCAGTAAGAATATTCTACCGGGCCGCAAAAAAATTATATTTGGTGCTGTATTAACATAACTTTCGTTTTATATGACACTTGTAATTTAACTTTAATTCATTATTTTGTAATTGGATATGTTCAATGGACTTCTTTTTGCAAAAAATACCCAACCAACAGTATATTTACGTTTACTTTTGTTTTCTTAAATCAATTTAATTTAATTTAGTTTTATTTTTAAATTAAAATAATGTTATATCGATTATATAGTATATTGATTGATACTGTTTTTAAGATGTGTATGAATATTTTCCAAAAAAAACAATTTTTCCCAAAAAATACACATAAACAGTTTTTTTCACAATTTTTCCGACCCTTTAAAACCACTGCAAATCGGTTGTTTCCAAAAGAAATTTTTTCGCAGTTATTTTGGAAACTTCCAAGTAGTCTATTGCAATTATAGTTCTATGCTTTAACTAACTAAAACACTAATAGTTATGAGTGGAATCAAAAAAATACGTTTCCTTATACCGCTCACTCGACGGTATTCTTTTGGTTTCGCTCATTTGCTTCGATCGATCTATTTTATTTTAACTCACCACTAAAACTAGGTTACTTAATCTCATTTCCAGAATATTCTAGAACGGATTTTTTCCAGAATCAAAACAACATGATAGAGATGTCCTGCATGGCGTCGCAAAATAACAACTTCACCGGTCAGCAGCCGTCGTCGGCCGCGTCCGGCGAGGATGCGGCAACAGCGCTGCAGCCGGCAACGTCGAACAAGATCAAGAACCGCGAGAAATCGAAGCGGAAAAGCGTAGAGAAAGCCTCCGGCGAAAATTATGTTTAGCGAACCAAGATGTGGTCCTAGGGTGTTTCATTTAAAAAGAAATTTTTTTTTCTTGCTGACACATGAACATTTTGTTTTTTAGGTTGAAAAAAAAATTCCCTGAAAATTTGAGCCCTTAATTTTGATTCTAGGTACTTCCTTTTTAATTTTGTAGTTTTTCCCTATAAAAAGCATGTATTTTTAATCATTTTTACTTTAAATTTCTATATCTTGGCCGGGTTTTGAATTATAATTTTTATCACCATAATTTTCTGCATAGTATTCACGGTTTTTCAAAGGCCCTGCATCAATTTTGTTTTTGATTTATTTACGTTGATTGTAGTAGCTGCAAAAGTCGTTTTTTCACTCTTTTCACATATTTTTGAGAAAATCGAGCGAATGACTGGTTTTACCGAAAAAGTTCAAATAAAAAAGTTGTAGAAAATTTAATTTTTGACAAAAAAGGTTTTTACATTCATATCACTAAAGTGCTTTGTTTAAGAGATATAAGCAATATATAGTTGTTGAATCAAATTACATAAATTTCAATAAAACCTATTTTTTCTTTGTTTTTGGTTATTAAATTGCTTATATCTCTTAAACAAAGCACTTTAGTGATATGAACGTAAGAACCTTTTTTGTCAAAAACAACTTTTATATTTGAACCAGTCATTCGCTCGATTTTCTCAAAAATATGTGAGAAAAAGTGAAAAAACTTTTGGAGCTACTACAATCAACGTAAATAAATTAAAACCAAAAATTGATGCAGGGCCTTTCAAAAACCGTGAATACTATGCAGGAAATTATGGTGATAAAAATTATAATTCAAAACCCAGCCAAAATATAGAAATTTAAAGTAAAAATGATTAAAATTACATGCTTTTTATATGGAAAAACTATAAAATTAAAAAGGAAGTACTTAGAATAAAAGTTAAGGGCTCAAATTTTCAGGGAATATTTTTTTCAACCTAAAAAACAAAATTTTCAAGTGTCAGCAAGAAAAAAAATTTCGTTTTAAATGAAACACCCTAATGTGGTCCGGGAGTTCGCGCCTTTGCTTTCTACAGAAAATGATCTCTTTGGAGATAATTTTCTGTAGAAAGTGGTCGCCAATTTCAAGAAATGCTTTGGACTATACTGCCGAAACGGCAGATATCTGGTGACTGGAAGAAAATTCGGTTCCTAAATCAAAAGACTGAATAGTGTTAATGTACTCTGCGAGAAAAGTGCTCTAAGCATAAAAACTTCTGCTAATTAATGTGTTCAAAACGCAATTAATTATAATTATACATGGATCGTGTAAAGATATGCAAACTTGCCATATGGAAGAGTTGGGTTTGGAATCTCATTAAATTTCTACAAATTTATGTCCTATAAAATTTGGTATGAGACTGTGATATTTTTATTGTATTTTTTTTATTTAGATTATATTGTGGACGATTATTTTTACTAATCTATGTATAAAACTATAGTGTAAATATTAATGAAAAAGTCTTAAATTTTAATATACACCCAGTATATTAACCTTATTAATTTATTCTTTGTACTTATCGAACAAAATTGTTGGTTTAACAGTATTAATAAATAACTTATTAAACTTTTAGAGGCAGCTACATTTAGTTTTAGGATTTTTTATCTCAGTAAAATATTAAGCTGTTTTTTTGTAAATTTGTTTTAGCTGATTCCTATATTTTAAAGGCTGTTTTTTACAATAGACAATAGCTACAATCGTATTTATGTACTTAAATTTACCGAATTAATTTTTGCTAATACAATTTTTCACTAAAAACGTCTCATGTATCGTTTGCTTTAATAAATGTAAATATTAATAGGACTTTTTTTTAATCCTACCTCAGCAAGACAAAAGACCCACTTACTGACTATAACGGCGGCCATTTTAATATTGTTTACAATTCTTGTGCTGTTAATACAGATTAAAAATCGTTATAAAAGTTTTTTCTTACAGAGGCACTTGTAATCCTCAAATGAGACCTTAAAGTTCCAAAGACTCCTCTTTTGTAAGAGGCTGTCATTAAATGTCAATTTTATATTTAATTTACCATAACTCACATAACTCCCAGACAGCATTATGAGGTCTTCTTGATTAAGTCTACATAAGCTCTATTTTATGATTTGGACGTCAGATACAACATACAACAAGTTTTTAAGAAGTTCTTAAGACTTCGAATGCGCCACCTATCGAACCAATCAAGACTTCTCAAAAAAGAACTCTTGAGGAACCTTTTTTTTGACTTCCCAATTAAGAATTTAAAGACTAAACTAAACTAATGTTCGATTTTATCCTTCATCGTGTGTACATCGCTCCATGAAAAAGTCTGAAAATAGTTGACTTTGACCCAGGAAGGATAAAATGGGGTTCCCGGTATAGAAATATACCTGTAGTTCTCGACAATATCGCAAGCTTTGTCCTTTCAGCGAGGAATTTTGTGATTTGTGCAATTGATGTAGTGGATGTTTCAAGATTTGAAATTCCACATGTCCGTGAGTGGATGGCTTCGAGAAGCTCAAGGACGTTAAAACTTGTAACTGGGCAGTAAGAGCCTAATTGGCTCAAGTCCAATTCTCTCGAAAGAGAGAATAACAATTATTGAAGAAGAAGAAGAAAGACTAAACTCATAAAAAGTCTTTAGAATGTCCTATTTTGGATATTTACTACTAGGGTACTGATGAAAAAATCACATACATGGATCGTTGGTTATTTTGATATGTCTAGTTTAATTACCATAGAAGAAACGTTGTTATTTGAATATTATTAAAATACTAAAAATATTAAAATACTTTAATAATTTGTTCGTATTCGCTTATTATTGGAATTGCGATTACTTCGTCTAACTTTAAATTCGAGCGTGCTCTTCACCGGCACTGATTAGGGATGTGCGATACGATCCGATATTACAAAGTACCGGTACTTTGACTACCGATACTCGATATTCTGAACCGGTATTTAGGTAAGCAATACAATACGATACCGTCAATTTTTACCAAGTATCGTATCGTTTCGGTTTTGTTTGCTGGAGCCGTTAAACATAACTAAAAATACAGAAAATTAAATATTTAAGTATATACTTAAGTGAAGCTTTTTTACGACTGTCCTCTAGCGTCCAATAGCCTAAGCTTGTATGCATTATTGGTTTTGACTGCAGAAAACTATTTTCGCCACTAATGAAAACCAAAACATGGAGATTTTATCACGTGACATAACTCTGTTTTCAAATATCCAAGCTGTGTACAGTGCAATTTTAAGGTAAGTGCAATTTTGAATTAAATTTAAAATAATTAAAAAGTGACGTGTGGAAAGTTTTTCTTTTAACGAATGATGGGGGTAAATAAATATTTTTTATGTATTATTTTAAATATTTTGTTCTTGTTTTATGTAACATGTAACGTTATATTCTATTTATATTTTTTTATTACTACGTACATATTAGGTATATTTTAATAAATTGTATTTATGGGTTTACTTTTTCCCTTCTATATCTCGGATCGAATTCGTACCGGTACTTCAAGAACCGGTATTTTTCTATTCGGTATTATACCGTACCGATATTTTTTAAACGATACGATACGGTACAATGTTCCGGTATTTTACGGCGTATCGAACATCCCTAGCACTGATAGACGACCTGTAACAGGTCACCTGTTTTGCTCTTTTGGACCTCTTCAGTATCGGGTAGCCGTTTGCCTAGGCCTTAAGGCCGTTTGGTGTGGAGCACGCTCTAAATTTTACTTTGCCGCTTCTTAAGTAAAACAAAAGCAGTTACAGCGGTGAGACGAAAGTATTCGGTGCAGAGTCGTGCCATCTACCGTCCGGTGGGCGTGGTCTAACCTCTGTTGTCAGGTTTCTGCTCAAATACGCAGCGGGATTTTTTCTGGTTTATTTACCATAGAACAGAGAATTCTTATTTCTGACTTTTTCATAAAAACAGCCATAAGAACGCATTAAAATGTCATAAATGTGACGTCTTAAAGAGTTAATATGATTTTCAGTAAGAAAAGAGAATACTGTAAAATATCACATTTGGTTTTAACTAAATTCTTAGTTATGATAACCTCAGTAGCTTCTAATTTTGATTTCAATAAGAGGTCAGAAAAAATACTTATACTAAGATGTTAAAAAATTGACTTCTTAACGAATTTTGTGCAAAAACGTAGTTGTCATGCTATATAGCAACGTGGTATTTCCACTTATTAATTTTTGAATTTCCACGTATTAATCTGTACCTATTAGTAACAGGCTGTTACAACTAGTGTTTTAAAATTTCCGGAAAATTTAAGCTGGCGGAAAAAAACCCTACAAATTGGTATATTTTTAAAATAGTTATTTTTTTATTGTAAAATGAAAACAACATAAAATGTCTGTCTATTATACGTAGTAGTAGTGTTTTACGGCTTGGAGAAAGAACTAAAAAAAGCGATTTGTGTTTATATTTTTTTCTGCAAGGTGAGGAAAAAATTGATTAAGTAAAATAAAGCATTTATTCATAAATAACATAAAAAATTATCCTTTTATTGAAATGTGTGTATTTTAAAATTTTCCAAAAAAATTAATTTTTGCCAAAAAAGACATTTTTTACGGAGGAAACAGGTTATTCCCCGATTTTCCGACGCTTTAAAACGCTAGTTACAACAATGCATGAGTGAAATATGCAATTTCAACGGTTTGTTTGTATCATAAACCAAAAACGTCAAAAACAGTTTTTTTTTAAATACAAAACGTTGTCAATGCAACGTAGTCTTATGTAGTTAGACTTACCTTTTAGTTCTCAAGTTTCCAAAATAGGTGTGTATAAATAGGGTAAATAAAAGTCAAATTTTCATAAATACTTCTGCATTTAATAAACGAGTAGGTTATGTTACTGAATAAAACAAAATATATTTACATATAAAAACAATATACACAATAAATTCATATATACACACATAAAATATCAATTGTTTGTTGTCAATATTTTACGATTACAATGGTCAATAATGTTTTTTCATTTTTTAATGCTTCCTAGTGCTGGTTTGAAAGACGTTTCCAAACCAAACAACAATTGCACAAATATAAGTTATAATAATTAAGTATATAATATGGTACAAAGTATTGCTTGTGTTATAGTCACAATAGAATAGAAAAAATATCACTTGTCCTTGTTTTGGCAGATCGCCCGTTACCTATCTCTTAAAAGTCCTTTTTTCACTCAAACCAAACTAGGAAAATGCCATTACATACGTAGAGAGGAAAATGTGTAGAAAAATTGATGGTGTACATTTATCATTACAACAGCATATACTATATCCATTTAAGTTACATTACAGCTATTGGCGAACATTTTTATTTATTTATTTTAATATCGGCGTAGGATACATTAACTATTTTCGTTTTTAATATAAGTAAGTAAATGCGTTATATGATTCACTGCAAGAAGGTCATCTCATACCGGAAAACAATCAAAAACTATACTAGGCTGCATTTAATGAATTTCATGGACTTTTGCTTGATGGTTTGGTTTGAAATGACCCAATAGAATGCTATTCTAATGATACAACCCGGCCAAAAATCAACGACTTTTGAGGCGTGCGTACATATACACAAAGAAAAGAAATATATACAACTATGGACTATTACATTTTTTTACCTAGTTTCTTTCTTATTACGTGAATCATTTAAGTATTCAGTCGATGCTACAGCTTACGCAATGATAATCGAAAATCATCATAAGAATTGCAGCACAAAAAATGATTCATTTACTCGTTTCAGCGCTCACTAGTAGTAGTTCCTTATAAAAGCATTTTGTGGGTGTGATATATTTACAATTCAAAAAGTTCGGGGAGGGGCGCGGCGCACACAATAAAACTCAACAATAACAGAAGAGAAACAATACGCACATTTCGTCTCGTGTGTACGCCGATTACAATATTACCATGTGCAAAGTCTTTTCCACCGTCTCAGAGTAGCGTGGGTACCCTGTTTGAGACCTCAACGTCATTACTTTTTTTTTTAATTTTTATTACATAGGCCATTTTGATTGCTTGTACACAATACATATGGGGCATTCCAAATACCAAATCGACCACTTTTAACCCCTTTTGATTTGGCTAAAGCTTTTTCTACCCTATCAAAAACATTTTCCAGAATTTTTCAACTGGTTTTTTTTTTTGAAAATTTTTGTTTTTGAATGCACTTTTTAGAAGAATATATAAAAAATTCTTTAGACTGATATTAAACTTTTTTTTTAATTTTCTGAAAAAAAAACGAAAATTATTGTTATTTTATATTTTTTGACATTTTTTGCAAATTCTCTAAAATTGCATTTTCTTTTTTTTTCAATGAAAAAAAAAATGTAACAGCTTATTTTTCATAATAGCACTCTGGTGAATTTTTCAGGATGTAGAGAGAAACATCAAAGTTTGGAAACAAAAATTTAATCGTTTTTCGAAAAAAGAAGAAAACAACATTTAAAAACAAAGTAAATGAAAAAATAATTTTATATGTAGCTATAAATACCATAAATAAAATTATTTAATAAACTTGTTTTTAATTAATTAAACAAAAAAAGCGGTTTACAAAAAACATAAACCACTTAAATTTTTTTTAAAGTCCGTCTCCATAAATGAATCAAATTATATATTTTTTTCATTTTGTTTGTTTTTAAATGTTACTTTCAAAAAAAATATATAAAAAGATTATTTAGAACTATCTACTATTTTTTTTACTTTTTCACAAAAAAATAATTTTTTTCCACAAACTTTGAGGTTCTTTCTACATCCTCAAAAATCCCCAGATTGGTATTTTGAGAAATAAGTTATATTTTTTTAATTGAAATAAAAATAGAAAACGAAAAAATGATACTGAAAATTTCATAGAATTTACAGAAAAAGTTTCTAACAAAAAAAAAACAAATTAAAAATGAAAATCAAGGAGAAATTTTCAAAAAATGTTGAAGGTGGGTCTGAATAATTTTTGTCTATATTTTTTGTCCAAATATGAACCAAAAAACAATTTCTTTTTAAATTTCTTTGTTTTAAATGTAATTTTTAAAAGATTATTTAGAACTCTTCAATTTTTTCTTACTTTTTCACAAAACATCTTCAAAACAACTTATTATTGTAATTTTAATTGTTTTTTGACATTTTCTGTAAATTCTCTAAAATTGCATTTTCTTTTTTTTCAATGAAAAAAAAAATGTAACAGCTTTTTTCATAATATCACTCTGGTGGATTTTTGAGGATGTATCAAAGTTTGGAAACAAAAATTTCATCGTTTTTCGAAAAAATAAGAAAACAACATTTAAAAACAAAGTAAATGAAAAATAATTTTATATTTAGCTATAAATAAAATTATTTAATAAACTTGTTTTTAATTAATTAAACAAAAAAAGCGGTTTACAAAAAAACATTAAAATTAATAAACCACAAATTTTTTTAAAAGTCTGTCCATAAATGAATCAAATAATATTTTTTTTTCATTTTGTTTGTTTTTAAGTGTTATTTTCAAAAAAATATATGAACAGATTATTTAGAACTATCTACTATTTTTTTTTACTTTTTCGCAAAAATTTTTTCCACAAACTTTGAGGTTCTTTCTACATCCTCAAAAATTCTCAGATTGGTATTATGAAAAATAAGTTAATTTTTTTTTAATTAAAATAAAAATAGAAAACGAAAAAATACCACTGAAAATTTCATACAATTTACAGAAAAAGTTTCTAACAAAAAAAAAACAAATTAAAAATAGCAATCATCAAGAAATTTTGAAAAAATGTTGAAGATGGGTCTGAATAATTTTTGTCTATATTTTTTTGTCCAAAAATGAACCAAAAAACAATTTTTTTTAAATTTCTTTGTTTTAAATGTAATTTTCAAAAAATTATTTAGAACAATTTTTTCTTACTTTTTCGCGAAACATCTTCAAAACAACTTTAATTTTTTTTTTTAAATTATAGGTTCAATATTAAACGTTTTTGTTTAATTTTCTCAAAAAAAATTTATTGTCATTTTCAATTTTTTTTTGCATTTTCTGCACTCTGCAATTTTCAGTGGCGTTTTCAATTAAAAACGAAAAAACGTCACTGAAAATTTCAGAAAATTTACAGAAAATTTTTTTAACAAAAAAAATACAAATTAAAAATGACAATGAAGATCAGTCTGAACAATTTTTTTCTATATTTTGACCAAGAAATAAACAGTCAACTTTTTGAAAAAAAATTTGAAGAAATTCTGAAATATGTTTTGGATAGGGTGGAAAAAGATAAAAGGTTTTAGCCAAATCGGTAAAAAGTGGTCGCTTTGGTGGAATTAATACAATTAATTATTATTGGACATTTCATGGCTCTCAAAAATGTATTAATTAGTTTAATCTCTAAAAAATATTATAGCCATGAGGGTTTTTCTTATTAAAAAATAGTTTTTCTTTCTATATAATAATAAGTTATATTATCCTTAGAATGACTAGTATTTGATTTGATGTTGTGTTTTATGGCACATAAAAATATTTCTGCTGATCTCTTCTTTTATTAGTAATAAATTATTACTTACTATCACTGTTTTTATTGTGTCACTGATCGTGTCTATGCAATCGGTTGCGGTGGTTGCCGCTCTTCCGGCGCTTCCGCTTCGTGTCGCGCTGGAAAGCCACGTTTCCCGGGTCGTCCGCCAGCTGCGGGTACTTGTGGATGCTGTGGACGTCCACGCCCTCGTAGCCGTCCACGTCGCCGTGCGAGATCAGCTCCTCCTTCTCCTCCTCCGTCCAGTCGCCTCTGGCCTGGAAGCCGGCCGCCACCAGCTGCTTCTCCAGCTCCCAGGCCCTCTCCACCGCGCGCTTGTGCGCGTGCCTGAGGATCTTGTGCGTTTCCGCTTCCGGATCCGCGCCGTACTTGATTATCACCACCGCGTCCGGATTGTGAAGCCTCAGCTCCTTTATCGGCGTCGTCGAACCGTGATCGGTGATCTCGTGCGTGGACACGTTAAACAAACCACCAAGTCGCTTCAACTCCTCCAAATCATCTCTAATCTTCAAAACATTATCTTTGACGAAGTAGAACACGTCTTGGTCGTGGATGTTGAATTGCAGGTTCAAGAAGAACGAGTTGTTGAAAACGGAGGTGACAACGTCCTGCACCACCCCGTTCACACCCTCCACAACACTCACCAAAGCGCGCGAACCGATCCTCGACAAGAGAACACCCTCGCCGAACACCGACTTCCTGTACGCCACTTTGGGGAGGAGATTCCGGGACCTCGGCTCGATCTTCAGGAGAGACATCGGGACAAAGTCCAGATCGACGAACTTCTCGTTTATCTTCCCGACTATGCACTGCAATCCCGACATGACCCCCAAATCGGGAGACAGCTGCGGAGAAGTGATCGTAGCCTGCGGTTTGTACACCATCTGGTTGATGTACTCCGAACCCAACATCCTGCTCATATCGTAACCGTACATCTTCAACCAGCTCTTCATCGTCGTCATGTAATCCTGGTTCATCTTCCCGTTGATGGGGTCGTTGTTCTTGAAGCGGTATATGAAGATGTCCGTGGGCATTAATAGATTGGCCGAAAGGTTCTCCCACGCCGGCGTCATCCACTGCCCCACCGACGGGTCGTAGAGGCGCTTGTTGATGTAGACGAGCTTCGTGTTGGGGTCCATGATGCCGCCGTGGAAGTCCACCGGCAGGTAGAAGTCCGGGTTCGTGTCCAAAACGATGCTTCCGAACGGAGTTCTTCTCAGCTCCTTAATCAAATTTCCGTTGATGTCGAATAAAGCCAAAGGAGATCCGTTTTGATCCGAAGCCACGTAGAATCTCTGCTCGAAGGTCTCCACCGTTATGATAACGTTATGGGCATCGTAGAGGAACCTAAACGTTCCGCTTGTTTTGGGGAAGTGGACATGCGTAACCAGATCTGGCGTTGTGGGGTTCGAGTAGAAGTATTGCGTCACATTGCCCTTATCGTCATTCCACGATATTAATCTGCCCCTGTCGTCGTAGTAATACCAAGTTTGGAACTTATCTCTTTCAAAGGCGTGTATCAACTGCCCTCTGGAGTTGTATCTGTACTTTTGTTCACCCCTCCTCACCACAAAACCTCTGTTATCATAACTATTAAACTCGACGTCGCCGTATTGCACAACTCTATCGCCGCTATCGTAACCCAACGTAATCTTCTCTTTCTCCTTAATAACACCAATTATATTACCATTTTCGTCGTACACGTACTTCCAGTTGTTGGTGCCGACAACCTCAAGCACATGACCGTCGGAGTTGTACGTGAATTTGTCGACGAATTGGCTTCTGCCAACCAGCATTTTTTGCGTTTTGATCCTGTTTCGGCTGTCATATTCGAGCTCTAGTCGGTAGACATCGAACGACTTGATGTTTATCAGGATTGTTTTGATTCTACTATGTTCGTCATAGTCTGTTATGGTGAAGAACTGTTTGCTTGTATCCTGCATCACGGATCTGTTGAAGGTGTTCATGTACACTCTCAAGTCGCTTATTCCTTCCAAGTTACCCAGGTTTTGGTTATATTTGAGCCTCAAAGTCGGTAATTCTTTACCGTTGATATCAACATCGATGGTGGACAATCTGGCGTTGCCATCGTATTGGTATTTGTAGTGGGAGTTATCCAGACCGTTCTTTGAGAGGAATTTCAGCTTCTCGTCCTTCAATATACCGGCGTGATACTTGAACTCCTGCCTCATCTCGAAGTTGGGCTCGATTATCTCGACGTTCTTCACCAAATTCAATACGTCGTGATAGATGTATCGTATGGACGACATGCCGGCCAAATTGGCGACCAATTTGCCGTTGGAATCGTAAATGTACGAAACTCTTCCGGACTGGTGCGGATACGCCTTGGCCAGAATCTGACCGTTGTCGTTGTAGACGATTTCGTACGGGTGGCGGTTCATGGGCGAAAAGTATTGGTACTTGAAGTAACCCAGAGAAGTTTGAAGGGTGAAAGCGTGGATGTGACCGCGCGGGGTTGTCAGGGACTGAAGAGCACCTGCATCGTCATACTGGAGGAGATAGTCCGAACCACGAGGAGTGGTTACTTTGAGAGGCTACAAAAAAAAAGAAAAATGCTAGGAAAATGCTTTTAGAGTACCTGGAGGTAATAAATAATAATAATAAGATTTTTTTAAACGTTTGCTCTAAAAGTAATGAGACGCGCGCTGAGAGAACGAAACATCGTGTAGTAACGCTTGACTTTGAAAAGTCGTAGCATTGTAAATTTTTTAAATAAACAAATCATTATTGAAAGAACTTGAAAATTATTTTTTAAATTAATAGATGTCCCCTTATATGAATTTTAGGTATTTTAGTATTAGGACCGTTTTTTGTTAATAAAATAAAATATGGTAAAATTTAGTAGTGTGTAACATAAAGATTTATATCATTTTCTTTATCAACTTGCCTCAAGGTTCATTACTGTAACTTGTAATGATCAAAGAGACTTGCTATAGAAGTAGTTTATTTAAAAAAAGTGACTATATATATTATGATAAAATTTCTTGCTGTGTTTATTTTAATAAATATATATTGTAAATACTTTTTTGAATTGTGGAACCAAAATATTTGCTTCAAAAGTAATAAATAAATAAATAAAAAAAGAGTGCCTCAAGGTTCATTACTGTGACTGATCGTGTAACTTTTTTAACAATCAACAAAAAGATCTGCTTTAAAAGAAATCAATTTCAAAAGAGTGCCTCAAGGTTTAATATTTGGACTGTTTATGTTATTTTTGTTAATAAATGATGTTTCTAGCTACGACCCTTTTAATAATAAATAAAATACATATTTTATATAGTTTTTTGTATTTTTAGGCCTAAAAGGTTCCTTACTGGAACCAGAAAGATTTGCTTTAAAAGTAATGAATTTTAAAAAAATGGTTCATTACCGTGACAGACCTTGTAACTTTTGTTCATAATCGCCAAAAAGATCTGCTTTAAAAGTGATCAATTTCAAAAGAGTGTCTTAAGGTTTAATATTTGGACCGTTCAAGTTATTTTTTGTTTTAAAATGAAATAGGACAAAATTACGCGTTCGTTTCAATAATGAATAAAATACATATTTCATATAATTTTCTGCATTTTAGACACTTGCCTCAAAGTTCATTACTATGACCAAAAATATTTGCTTTAAAAGTGATGATTTTCAAAAGTGTGCCTCAAGGTTTAATATTTTGACTGTTTATGTTATTTTTGTTAATAAATGACATGTTTCTAGATGTGTTCCTTTCAATAATGAATAAAATACACATTTTATTTAATTTCCTATATTTTTAGGCCTAAACCACAAAGATTTGCTTTAAAAGTAATGAATTTTAAAAGAGTGCCTCAACTGTGACTGATTTTGTAACTTGTTAATAATCTCCAAAAAGATCTACTTTAAAATTGATCAATTTCAAAAAAATGCCTCAGGGTTTAACAGTTAAAGTTATTAAATAAAATATGACAAAATTTTTTGCCGTGTTCGTTTCAATAATAAATAAAATACATATTTTAAATAATTTTCTGTACTTTTAGGCCTAAAAGTTTCCTTATTGGAACCAAAAATATATGCTTTAAAAGTAATGAATTTTAAAAGAGTGCCTCAAGGTTTATTACTGTGACCGAGACTGTGACTGATCTTGTAACTTTAGTTAATAATCCTCAAAAAGATCTGCTTTAAAAGTGATCAATTTCAAAAGAGTGTCTCAAGGTTTAATATTTGGACCGTTCAAGTTATATTTTGTTTTTAAATGAAATAGGACATATAATTTTCTGCATTTTAGACACTTGCCTCAAAGTTCATTACTATGACCAAAAATATTTGCTTTAAAAGTGATGATTTTCAAAAGAGTGCCTCAAGGTTTAATATTTGGACTATATTATTTTTGTTAATAAATGACATGTTTATAGCTGCGATTCTTTTAATAATAAATAAAATACATATTTTATATAATTTTTTGTATTTTTAGGCCTTAAAGTTTCCTTACTGGAACCAAAAAGATTTGCTTTAAAATTAATGAATTTTAAAAGAGTGCCTCAACTGTGACTGATTTTGTAACTTGTTAATAATCTCCAAAAAGATCTGCTTTAAAAGTGATCAATTTCAAGTTATTAAATAAAATATGACAAAATTTTTTGCCGTGTTTGTTTCAATAATGAATAAAATACATATTTTATCTTATTTTCTGTATTTTTAGACCCTTGCCTTAAATTTCATTACTATGTCCAAAAAGATTGGCTTTAAAATTGATGAATTTCAAAAGAGTGCCGCAAGGTTTAATATTTGGTCTCTTCATGTTATTTTTTGTAATAAATGATATGTTTCTTTTAATAATGAATAAAATAGATGTTTTATATAATTTTTTGCATTTTTAGGCTTAAAAGGTTCCTTACTGGAACTAAAAAGATTTCTTTTAAAATTGATGTATTTCAAAAGAGTGCCGCAAGGTTTAATATTTGGTCTCTTGATGTTATTTTTTGTAATAAATGACATGTTCATTTAAATAATGAATAAAATATATGATTTATATAATTTTTTGCATTTTTACACTTACCAAGCTGCTAAACATGTCCTTAAAGGTGTAAATCAGGGACGATCCGTCGGCATATTTGATCTCATTCAATCTTCCGGCCCTGTCGAACTCGTACTTTTCGCTGAGCTCGCCCCACTGCCATCTGCTCAGCCTGCTGAATCTGTCGTACTCCAGCTCCACCTCGGTGAAAATACCGTTCCTCAGGCCGAACTTGATCGGCCGCGCGGACTTGTCGTAGCTGACGTTGAGAAGCTCCACCTTGTCGTCCATGAACACGGACACGGAAGAGGATTCCTTGTCGTACTCGAGGGTGAGCAGGTTTTCCCCGTTGATCCTCAAACGTTTGCCGACCTTGCTGACGACTTTCTGCGCCTTCGGCTTGCCGTTTTGGTTCGGCCGCACGAAGTAGCGCCACTCGAATCTGTTCGCCAGATCGCCGCCGATTTCCGTGCGTTGTTTCGCCGGTACCGGGTAGCTTTCCCCGAGGACGGGGTCTTTTTCCGTCAGGATGTTGTACGGCACGGTGTCGGTGGTCACGCTGTGCGTCCATGGGGTTATCGTGCCGACACTGCCGTCAGTCAGGAGGATAAAACGGTTCTCCGCCTCGTCTACTTTGGTGGAAACGCTGGAACCTTTGATGAGCATTGACACCGGGTTTTTGCTGTTCTGCGTCACCTTAACGGTCGCGCCTTTGAGGCTGAGATCGAAGGTGAGACCGATTACTTTACCGGTCGGTGTTACGGCGGAGGTAAGTCTACCGAACTCGTCGTAGTTGTAGATGTAACCTCTACCGCTGCTGTCTAATTTTGTTTTTAATAACCCGCTGGGGCCGTGGTAGTCGAAGGTGATGTTGTAGTTATCCGGCGTCGTGATTTCGTGCAGCATCCTCATGCGCGACATCCTCAACCGGCACTTTTGGCCTTTGGTGTTCTCGATGGAGTTCACTTGCGCGGCGTAATCCCTCAGCAGGAAGATCTTGTTGCCCGCCGCGTCCGTTACGGTGCTCAACTTCCCGTTGCTGGTGTTCACGTTGTAAGTGAACACGTACACAGTGTTGCCGGTGAGGATGTTCTTCGTGAACACGTGCTGCCCGAACCGGTTGAAGATGTATATCTCCTGCGTTTCGGGGGAGTAAATCTCGTACTCCCTCGTGGTGCTGGCGTCGGGGATGCTCGCCATCACGGAACGTATGCGGTAGTTGGCTTGATCGCCGATGTGCACGTGACCGTTGGGCGTTACAGTTACAGCCGAGATCGTGTTGAATTTCGAGTTGGTCGCGAGGAAATGGTCGGCTTCAAAACAATCGCAACCCCTCTCCAAGCAGTTGCATTTCGATTCTATCCCGGCGTAGGGAGAGATTTTCCCGTCTGTTCCGATCACGCGAACGCGGTTTATTCTCTGCGAATCGCTTTCCGCCACGTACAACTCCCCGGAAGAACTGAACGCGATACTCTGCGGCATCACCAAAGTGGCGTGCGTCGCCAACTCGATATCGTACCCTATGTTAGGCGAAGCGCAGTGCAGAGGCCGCCCGGCTATAACCTTAACCCTGCCGTCGGAAGTCAGCTGCAGAATCATGTGATCGTCAATGATGTGCAGGGTGTTATCAAGCGGGCTGATGGCCAACTCTGTTGGCCATCTCAGATGCACCTCTTCGATGTTGAGGGTGCCCTCGCACGGCAGAGGCTTCCAGTGCGACTTGTGCATGTGGTTGCCGATGACCGTGGTCACGATGCCGTCCCTGTCCACCTGTAGTATCCAAGAAATAAATATACAATTTTTATATTTTCAATAATATTTTATAAATTAATTTTGTTTATTGCAAATAATCATGATTGCTCAGCAGTATGGTAAAACTATATCGTAAGTCTGCGGGGTCAGAGTTCTCTAATATTAAGTAGGTTAAGAAACATAGAATGTTACCAAATAAACATTTAGATTAATGAGTTTATAGAAGTATTATCATTTTTCCCAACGAACCTTCAAATCAGTAATGAATGGTGAATAAGTAAACTAATATATATACAGTAAGGACACAAATATAACTCACCGTGCGGATGTTGGTGCCGTCGGCGAAGTAGAGGATGTTGTCGTTGGAGACGGCCACGCCTTTGGGGTAGGCCAGTTTGGCGTCGCGCGCCAAGGCGCCGTCGCCGCAGTGGGCCTCGTCCCCGGGCAGGCATCTTTCGCCGGAGCCGACGACTGTCTCCCAGTTGTGCTCGGGGTTGCTGTAGTCGTTCACGTCTTTCACCTTGATGATTTGGTGCGACTCGGGGTCCGATATGTAGAGAGTACCGTCGAACGGACTGAGAGCCATGTGGTAGCGGTACGAAACCCTTGTAGCGCTGCAAAAAACAATAAATAAGTTTTTGTTGGTTTGTTTCCATACCACATGATTTGGCTGAAACTTTTCTGCCCTATCAAAAACATTTTTATGACCTTCTTCAAATTTTTCCACCCAACCTAAAAAAAGTCAGATATCTAAGTATTACTCTTTAAAAAATCAGACCAATCTTCGACGCTTTTTTTTAATTTTGGGGAAAAAACAAAAATTTCTCGATGATGGTCATCTTTATTTTTTTTCTTTTTTTTTTCGTCATTTTATGCAAATTCTACAAAATTTTCAGAGTGGCGTTTTTTCGTTTCCTATTTTTTTTATCAATTAAATAAAATCTTTGCTTATTTCTCATACCATTTTTAAGGATGTAGAGAGAACCTCAGTTTGAAAAAGTAAGAAAAAAAGTTGAAAAAAAAAACATGAAACGAATTCAATCACAAATTAACCACAACCAACAATGAACCAAATAACTCTTTTTCTTCTTTTTCTTTTTCTTTGATTTAAACGCAGCTTTCACAAAAATAGAGAACAAAATTATTTAGACCAATCTTCAACGTTATTCTTTTGAATTCTCGGAAAAAACGAAATTTTGCAGAAAACGTCCAAGTTTACAATAAAAAAATTAAAAATGACAATGATCGAGAAATTTTCGGTTTTAATAATAATGAATTTATTTAGCATCACTACTACATAAAAAAATAACAATTTACATAGGTATTTATATAAAAAATACAACGAAAAAAATAGAAAAGTTTAAAAAGTTTACAACTAGATTTTTAACAAAACAAGTGTATAAAGAATTAGATATATCATAATAAATATAATATAAAGATGACAAAAACGCAACATTTAGTTTATAACAAATCTTCTCAAAAGTTTTTTGAACTGATTTATATTATCACAAATTCACATGTAGTTTATTTTTTACTTCAAAAATAAAAAACACATTTCGGTCTGAATATTTTTTTCATATTTTTCTAAAAAGTACATTATTTAAAAACAAAAAATTTGAAAAAAGTCAATTTTTGAAAAAGTTAGACATTTAAAAAATATAAAAGTTTCAGTTAAATCGAGAAAAATATATAAAAAAAATATTTTTTTTACTTTTTCGAAAAACATTTTTTTGATAATTATTAATTATTTTTTTAACTTTAAGGTGCTCTCTACATTATGAGAGATGGGCTGGGTTAAAAAAATGTTTATAAAAAAAATAGAAAATGAAAAACGCAACTGAAAATTTTAGAGAATTTGTAGAAAATGTTTCTAATAAAAATTAAAAAAAAATACATTCATTAAGAAATTTTTGTTTGTTTCTTTTTTAAAATTAAAACAATAAAAACAAAAATTCTGAAACCAAAATGTCCCGAAAGTAACAGTTTTATGACAGCCCTGATATAATAAAGTTTCAAACCCAAAGCACAAAAATTGTAAACAACAAAAATGGCCGCCGTTAAACTGTGATTTTTTGTATTTTTAGTACGAGATAGAACAGACCACAGACCTACAGGTCTGTGGAACAGACCTTTTTGTGTGGATTCTGTGTTGAGTAACAAAATGTAAAAAAAAATCTAAAATATGTTTTTATAAGGTATAAAAATATAAAAAAGTTTATATTTATATATGTATGTATATTTATAGCTATTGTTTAATAAAATAAACTTTTTGGTTAATTAAACAAAAAAAACTAGGAAACGAATTTCATCACAAATTAACCATTAAATTTTTTTTAAAGCCTGTTGTGTTTTCAAAAATAAATTAAATAACATTGTTGTGTTTTTCTTTGTTTTTAAATGTAGTTTTCAAAAAAATATATCAAATATTATCTTCCATTTTTTTTACTTTTTCGAAAAACATTAAATTTTGATAAATACCACTTTTTTACTTTGAGGTTCCCTCTACACCCTCAAAAATCCCCAGAGTGGTATTATGAAAGATAAGTTGAGTTAAAAAAAATGCAATGAAAAAAAATAGAAAATGAAAAAACGCCACTGAAAATTTTTAGAGAATTTGCTAATAAAAAAAAATATTACATCATTGAAAAATTATTGTTTTTTATTACAAAATTTTTAAAAAAATGTTGAATATCGGTCTAAACATTTTTTTGAAAAATTTAGTATTTTTTTTTAAAGTTATAAATATTTGAAAAATAAAGCCATTTTTTTAAATTCATAACTTTTGATATGGTAGAAATATATAAAAAAGTTTCAGCCAAATTAAAAGGGATTATTGTATTTATAGCTATTGTATATTAAATTGTTTATTAATATAATTTTTTTGGTTAATTAAACAAAAAAAAGCGAAACATGAAACGACTTCCATCACAAATTAACCACTTAAAGCCTTTTGTTTTTCCAAAAATGAACACTTAAAGTGACTTTTCTTTTCCTTTTAAATGTAGTTTTAAAAAAATATATACAAACAAAAACAAATTATTCAGATCTATCTTCTATGTTTTACTTTTTCAAAAAAATGCCACTGAAAATTTCTGAGAACTTTCAGAAAATGCTTCTAATAAAAAAACATTAAAAATGACAATCGACAAATTTATGTTTTTTACCGAAATTAAACAAAAAAGTTGATTATCTGTCTGAATATTTTTTTTATGATTTTATAAAAAGTACATTGAACAATTTGACCCGATTTGTTTTAGATATTTTAAATATTCATAACTTTTTTCGATTTGGTAGAAAAAATTCTGAAAAATGTGTTTGATTGTGTAGAAAAATATAAAAAAGGTTCAGCCAAATCAAAAGTGGCCGATTTGTTATGGAATGCCCTCTATAGAAACAAAACCAACAAAAATGTTCAAAAACTTACTTCAACTTCACTATGGTTCTCGACACTCCGTCAGCGGATATTTTCCTGATCAAGTTGAAATCTCCGACGTACAAAGAACTGTCCGGCGTGCTGGCCAGCGCCACGGGCGCCAGAAGTCGCTGCTTGCCGGCCGGCCCGTTGCAGTCCACGCACTCCAGCGGCCTCTGGTGGCCGTCGCCCATCGTGGTGAGGATCACGCGCGGCTTGTGCTTGAGGTAGATGTTGCTCCCGTCCCCTTTCTGCAGGATCCCCTCGTGGAAGTTGTATCTGTGGTGGATGTCCAAATTCCAACCGCCCACGTCGGAGATGCTCATGTCGTGGCCGCTTAGCTTCGTGGTCTGCACCTCCCAAATCACGTCTTTGCAATCGTTGTACTGGTAACCGACTTTCACGATGGCGTTGGTGACACCGTAGACCCTTTGTCGGTAGACGTTCAGTCTGTTCCAGGCGTAGGTGAATTTTATGATGGGGTCCGCTTCGAATATCTTCTCGAATAGGATTCCCTCGATGGTGATTCTAAGGTGCACGAGTTTCAAGGATTGCGATATTTTTTCCGGGGTTAGTTGGAGTTGGATGGTTGATAGGTAACCTGCTGCTCGCGAGCTGTGGTACACCAAGTTTAACCCGGTACCTGGCACAAAATATAAATTATTATAATCTGGATTCTTGAAAAAGGCAACTTTGGTGATATGTTAAACAAATATTAGAAGTATTCTTCAACACCAAAACGAAACACAAAGTGCTTAAAGTACTTTTCGCCAAAGATGTTGACATTTTATTTCGAAAAGAAATATGTTGCACAAACTAAACGATCCATCCATAACATTATTTCGAATATTCAAATTATTCGAATATTGGAATATTCAAATAATCGAATTTTTAAATATTCGAATATTAAAATATTTACCAGGTCCAATAAAGTTTAACTAGTTTTAGAGATTTTTTAGCCAGTCTAGAGATTTAATAAAAACTTCTTATAATATTTAATATTGTATCTGTTTTTTGATTATCAAACAAATTATGAAAATAATAATTATTATAAAAAGTTATTATTAAATCTCTAGGCTATACTTTTTTCTGCGCAATAAAACCGATTTTTTTCGAGTCTCCTATGAAATAATATTTGTTTTATCATGCTTTAAAATCTCTCTTTAAAAATCAGCTCAATTAATTTAAAAAAAAAATAATGGTCGCACAATAATTTTGAAAATTCAACAAATGGTTATAAATTTTAACCTAAAATTGGAACAATTGTTTGGTAAAAATTCGAACATTTTTTGCTTGTATAGGCACGTTGTCTATACCTTCGGATTTCCGGCTTTTTGGCTAGAAATTATAATAATATTAAAATATATTCAATAAATAATTTAAATATAATTTTTTTTAAATTTGTGAGCAACCTTTAAAAATTAATTTGTTAAGCTAAAACTTTTGGTACAAAAATTTACGGTGGTAAAAAAATTATTATTTTAAATTCGAATTTGATTATTTTTGTAATTTTCAAAAATCGAAAGCTAACTAATTAATGACAAATTAACATATTTGAAAAAAGTTTTTTTGCACCACCAAATATACTGATGTGTTTTAATATTTGAGTATTGTTTTATGACCTAAGTCGTGCATTCATCATAGATTATTATTACATAAACTTGAAAATACAGCAGTTATATAGAGGTGTTGCAAATAAATGGGTAGAATCATATTTATTAGACAACCCAAGTAGGAAAATCGGATATATCCAGAGTAACATTGGGAGTACCTCAAGGATCAATATTGGGGCCACTTATATTTTTAATATTTGTAAATGACTTGAATTTAAATACAAATATAAATGAGCAACTTATTCTGTATGCAGATGATACAAACCTTATAATTTAAAATAGTAATATGCTCTGAAGCATCTTTAAAATCTAATTTTTCAATATATGGTGTGAAGAAAATGGTGTAACCATTAATAAAAACGATTTTTACCAAAAAATGTTTCACCAGATTATGATCTATTTATTACAATTATAGGAAAATCAGTTGAGTCTGTGGAAACCATAAAGTTTTTGGCTATTTACTTGGGTTGAAAGTTAACATGGGAAACACAAATAAATAATTTAATAAGGTCATTAAGAGGGTCAATAACCTTTTCAGTAATGCGACTTATGTACTTTGGGGTAGTCCTGGCACATCTTGCCTATGGCATTATATTTTGGGGTAGCTCTATTAATTTTAACAAAGTTTTTATAATGCAAAAAAAGATCCTTAGGTGCACGGATAACAAAAGTCAAACATATTCTTGTAAAGCGTTGTTTCGGAAATACAGAATTTTAACTCTTCCCTGTTTATTCATATTAAATTTGTATATTTTTGAAAATAAAAAAGGCATTTAACACATAGTAACATACATAGATATTCAACAAGAAGTCAAAATGAGTTTTTTAGAGAAGAGAAGAGTTTCTAAATGAGATACGTTTGGTGTTCCTAGTGTTTTTAATAATATATTTTGTAATTTTACTTGAATGGTTTTTTATATGCTGTAAACTGTGTAATCAATAAATATTATTATTATTATGTGTACACTTTGCTTCTGAAGATGCCAACATTGTTGGCGAAAAGTACTTTAAGCACTTTGTGTTTTGTTTTGGTGTTGGGGAATATTTCGAATATTTGCTTAATCAGGATTGCTACAAACAAAAATAAATTACCTGGTATTTGGAAACTCTCTTGCACAACCTGCGATTCGGCCAATATGGCGCTTTTATCCGGACATGCGCCTTGGAAGCCGTGTTTCCATGTAGCCAACACCACAGGTTTCATGGTATCGTAATCATGGAACGCGCAGGGCTGTTGCATTACCACAACGGCTTTCTCTTCCCCTGTTGTCATAACTATGTTATCCACAATGACGACTTCGTTCCAGGGTACCACCACCACTTGACTTTGAGGTCTGAAAGGCGACCGTCCGAACTGCAAAGTGACCGCCCCTCCTCCGTTCACCAGCAAATCGAACATACCGTCGTCGCGTGTTAAGGTGAAGCCTTCCAGCGGCGTGCTGGTGCTGACTCTCACCCCCATCAGTCCCGTGCCCATTTGGGTGACAACTCGGCCCCGAACGACACCTACGCGGCTAAATAACGAACCACAATTAGCATTTAATTGACGACACGACAACATTCAACAAGTTACAAGTAAGCTGCACACAAATGGCACGTAACACACAAGTGGATACAAGCAAATATCTAAGGACAGGCACTAAGTAAAACACGTTTATTCTTTTCTCTGATTGAAAACCAGCCTTACCTTGCATTGAAGTGACTCCAAAATATACTGTGGCAGCAATTTAAGGGAGAGAAAAAAGCGAAATCGTTAAAAATCCACACAAATAAGTTAAGTTAGTCAGTTAACAACATAGTAGCATATGACATACACACTTAGTAGTGTAATAAGTAACAATAAGTAATAAAAAACAGAAAACGAATAGTTTGGGAGGTGTTATAACGAGGGGCACAACATGGCGGCTATGACGTATATAAAAACAGTTAAAAAACAGTGCACAAAACTAATGAACCATCAAATGATTCGTTTTAGTTTCCATCGAATTGTTAGATGTTGAAAGTTAAGAGTGAGGCTTACCTTTCGTTGAAAGTGTCCTGTCTGGCGTAGTTTTGAAGACTGCCTTCGTCGATAAGGAACTTCATTCTTTCGAAGAAGGAAGCCGTTATTGCGGGGGGTTGTTTTCGCAGCAGAATGTCGATTGGTTTGGGGGAAGAGACGCAGAGCTGACTGGACTTGCAAGCGTGGTTGGAGCAGCATTCGGGGTCTTCGCAATCGACCAAACCATCTTAAAAAACCCCAAAGTAAAACACTTTGAACCCACCAAGAACACGAGGGGTCAACCACCCAAAGGGAAAACGTCCAGGGATTCCCATGTATTCCCATTATATTTAATTGTATTCTTATGTATTCCTATGGTATTCCCCCTCTAAAATGTCCAGGGATTCCCAGATGTGGGTGACCCCTCGCAAAAACAACCATACCTTTATCGTTGTCCCTGCCGTCGTTGCAGTTTTGCTCCAGCAAGAGACTGCAGTCTCTGCCGGACCAACCGCTCTCGCACCTGCACTCCCACATCGAGTCGGTGTTGAATCTGCACTGCCCGTGCGATGAGCAGCTGTTGGGGCAGCCCTCCATGGTGCAGTGCCGTCCGTTCCAGCCGGTCACGCACAAGCAAGTTCCGTTCTTGCACTGACCGTGCTCGTTGCAACGCGTATCGCAGAGCTTCAAGTTACAATACTCGCCGGACCAGCCCGGGTCGCAGTGGCAAGATTCGGAAACGCAGTGGCCGTGATTGCCGCAATCCAGATCGCACAGTTCTGAGGAATAACATTAGGATGTAGCGGTCATTTAATTTGAGAACCATTGACAACCCAAATTAATCAAGCAAACTCAAAGGAATCGCTTAAAACTAAAGGAAATTTAAAAACTAAAATTGAACTAGTGATACTAAAATAGAGGTAAAACTAGCTGAAAAAAAAATTAATCGAAATTTCGTAAATATAATTTAATGGTTGATAAATCAACCATAAAATAAAATTGAATATAAAACCCTATCAAAAATAAAAAATCTAATAAATCAACAGAAAACCCTAATCAAAAAATAAAATAAATGAAATTAGACCAAAAACTTTAATTTTTATAAAAAGGAATAAAAATCTCTCATAATTTAAAAATTTTATAGTAAACATAATGTTTAATTTGAAAACCATTGAAATCCCAAATTAATCAAACAAACTCAAAGGAATCGCTTAAAACTAAAGGAAATTTAAAAACTAAAATTGAACTAGTGATACTAAAATAGAGGTAAAACTAGCTGAAAAAAAAAATTAATCGAAATTTCGTAAATATAATTTAATGGTTGATAAATCAACCATAAAATAAAATTGAATATAAAACCCTATCAAAAATAAAAAATCTAATAAATTAACAGAAAACCCTAATCAAAAAATAAAATAAATGAAATTAGACCAAAAACTTTAATTTTTATAAAAAGGAATAAAAATCTCTCATAATTTAAAAATTTTATAGTAAACATAATGTTTAATTAAAAAACCATTGAAATCCCAAATTAATCAAACAAACTAAAAGGAATCGCTTAAAACTAAAGGAAATTTAAAAACTAAAATTGAACTAGTGATACTAAAATAGAGGTAAAACTAGCTGAAAAAAAAAATTAATCGAAATTTCGTAAATATAATTTAATGGTTGATAAAAAAAATTGAATATAAAACCCTATCAAAAATAAAAAATCCAATAAATTAACAGAAAACCCTAATCAAAAAATAAAATAAATGAAATTAGACCAAAAACTTTAATTTTTATAAAAAGGAATAAAAATCTCTCATAATTTAAAAATTTTATAGTAAACATAATGATTTTATTGATAAAACTAAATTTTAACTAAAAATAAACTATAGCATTCAAATTTCATAACGAAATCCTGCTAAAACTAAAAATAGAAAAAAATCTAATTAAATCAAAACAATAACTTAACCTAAAATTAGAATCTGTAGAAAAATCTAAGCATTTCAATTTCATACAAAATTCAAAAATTAAAAAAAAGTTGATTGAGATTTTTATTTACTTGTACTAAAAAATTTAAAAAAGGTTGAGGTTTTATATCCTTTTTTCTGAAAAAAAAAATGCTAATTTTGATAAAAAAACAAAAATTTTTATTTTATAAAGAATTACTTATAAAAATATTAAACTAAGAATTTACTGATAAAGGCCAATTTTAATGATAAAATAAAAATCCCTATTAAAATAAAATAATAGGATATTTCTATATGTTTAAAAATATATGTTTAAAACTATAGCAATAAAACCCTTAAAAACAAATCAAAAAAATACAAAAAATCAATTTTAAAAATTTTTCATTTTTAAGGCGTTTTCTATTCACTACTAAACTAAACATACCTATTGTTTTTAGGAAAAATTTGATAATAAAATCGCTAATAAAATTATACAAACTAAATAGTTAATAAAAATTCGTCAATAAATATCTTTGAGATTTTCATAGTAATTATTTAGTATAAAATTTCCTTATTAATAATGCAATGAAAAGTCTAATTTGATTCATTTTATATTAACTTAAAATTTACAATATTATTGAAAGAAGGAACTTTTTTTTTATAAATATTATATATATATTAATAAATAATTTATTATTATATAATATATAATTATTAATATAGTATAATATTAACAAAGCGTTTTGCTAGTGGGTCTTTACCTCTTGAGCAGTCGTCTCCGGACCACCTGGCCTCGCAAGTGCAAGTTTGGGTGTCCAGATCGAACGTGCCGTGTCCAGAGCAGTCTGGCAGGCATTGCAACGCGTCTTTGTCCATTTCGGAGCAATCCAAGCCTTTCCAACCCTTCTTGCAAATGCACGTCCCCTCCACGCAGTAGCCATGCGCCGAGCAGTTCGGGTGCGGGCAGTCAACTTCAAAGATGCGATTAGTACGATGAATGGGTTGTGGAGTTAAGTGAACTTGGTGGAGTTATAGACAATTGCAAAACGAAGTACCAACTTTTTAAACCACTTACTGCAAAAACCACATAACGCCCAAAACACTGTTTTGAGTAATTTGAATTTGTAACTTATTTAAGTAAATCAAAATGTCAAAACCATATTAAAAAATGTTACTCCAAAGTATACTGTTGGTACTCGTTTGTCTATATTAAAACCCACTATTTTAAAACGATAGTTTAGGTGTTTAGTGGAAGCAAACTTACCTTCTTCGCAGAAATTTCCCTTGTAGCCTCTGATACAGTTGCACTTGCCGTTAGAGCAATGACCGTGACCGTTACAGTCTGGTACTTCGCACTCGTCATGCCTCAACTGGCACTCCTTGCCCTTCCAGCCAGGATTGCACTGGCATTCCCCGTTTATGTAATCGCCCCTTTGACTGCAAAGCACCGGGCAAACACCTTTTGTGCAAACAAGTGATTTTTGTTAGTATGACAGTCCCAAGTGATGCATGCTTTTGTGCACCTCAGATGTACGAAAACACTTCTGAGGTGCATATTAGTGTATTCTGAAAACTCAGTACTTACTCTCGCTACAGTCGTCCCCTCCAAAACCTGGGTTGCATTGGCAATGTCCCATGAGGCATTCTCCCTTACCACTGCAACCATTGGGACAGTTATGGGTCATATCGTCCGCTACGGCAGCTATGAAAGTGACCTCTTGCGGGTCGCCATCGTCGTTGTACAGCGATAAGAACCAATGGCCTTGCTCCATGTAATGGGTTACCTCTTTTTTAACCGCAGACTATAAGTAAGTAAGCACAAAATAAATAAACATATTTGAGAATGATAAACTTACTAGAGAATGTTAAAAACACGTTAATGTCAAAAACAAATTTCAGAATGTCAATATCACATTTATCGCATTTAAGAATGATAAACTTGAACGTTTAAAAACATTTTAGAACGTTAAAAATATGTCAAAGCATATTTAAGAATGTAAATAACAAATTGCAGAATGTCAAGACACAATATAGAATTCTACATGTTACATATTAAAAAATACATAAGAAAATTTCAAAATCACATGTAAGAATAATAGAGAAGCATATTTTAGAAAATTAAAAACAAATTGCAGAATGTCAGGATCACATTTATTACAGTTAAGAATGATAAACTTGCTTGAATGTTAAAAAAACATTTTAGAACGTTAAAAATATTTAAAAGCATATTTTAAAATGTAAAAAACAAATTGCAGAATATCAAGATACAATAATTCCACATTTTATATGTTAAAAAATATATAAGAAATTGTCAAAATCACATGTAAGAATGATAAACTAACTAGAGAATGTGAAACCATATTTTAGAATATCAAATACAAATTGCAGAATGTCAAGATCACATTATAGAATGATATAGGTACTTGCTAGAATGTTAAAAAAAACATTTTAGAACGTTAAAAATATGTCAAAGCATATTATAAAATCAAAAACAAATTGCAGAGTGTCAAGGCACAATATAGAATTTCACATTTTATGTTAAAAAAATATATACAAAATTGTTATGATAAACTTAGTAGAGAATGTAAAAACATATTTTAGAATAAAAACAAATTGTAGAATGTCAAGATCACATTTATCACATTTAAGAATGATAAACTTGCTAGAATGTTAAAAAACATTTTAGAACTTTAAAAATATGTCAAAGCATAATTTAGAATGTCAAAAACAAATTCCAGAATGTCAAGATCCCATTTAAGAATAATAAACTTGCTAAAATGTAAAGAAAACATTTTGGAACGTTAAAAATATGTCAAAGCATATTTTAGAATGTCAAAAACAAATTGAATAATGTCAATACACAATATAGAATTCCACATGTTATAAGAAAATGTCAAGATCACATTTAAGAATAATAAACTTGCTAAAATGTAAATAAAAAAACATTTTAGAACATTAAAAATATGTCAAAGCCTATTTAAGAATGTCAAAAACAAATTACAGAATGTCAAAATCGCATTTAAGAATATCAAAAACAAATTGCAGGATGTCAATACACAATATAGAATTCCACATATTATATGTTAAAAAATATATAAGAACATGACAAAATCACATGTAAGAATGAAAAACTTACTAGAGAATGTAAAAGCATATTTTAAAATATCAGCATGAATGATGAAGCTAGAATGTTAAAAAACATTTTATAACGTAACATGTAACATTGCAATTAGTCAAAGCATATTTTAGAAAGTCAAAAACAAATTGCAGAATGTCAAAACACAATATAGAATTCCACATACATAAAAGATTGTCAATATTAAGAATGTAAAACTTAGCTAAAAGTGTCAACATAATTTAAAATCTCAAGACAATTAAAATGTCAATTATATTTTAAAACCATATTAAGAATTAAAAAAACACATTTAAGAATTTAAAATGTCGTCAATAATTTTAATATAGAATATTAAGAAACTCCTTACATGTGAAGCCCGTGTAGTCCTGGCCTTAAACCCACTAAGAACTTCAAGAATGTGGTACTGAGTGTGAGTTGGCAAAGCATTTCTTCTGGCATATACCCCTATGCTCGCACCTCGGGGTATACTGTAATCGAACTTGACGTAAGCCGCTTCGGATTGGTAGAACTGCATGTTCCAATAGCCATAAGGCGGAATCTCTTTGGACAGCCTTTGGCCGAGCTGCACCTGCGAGAAAGTGGTGCCATCTGGCGGAAAGGACTGCGCCGGGAATGTATGCGCCCCTACAATAATAAATTTAACGTCATTATCGCGACTTGCAGGATCAAAAGCGTTTTGATTACGTGACCGAGGTCAAGACATTATTTTCGAGCGATTAAATCTTGCGCACTTAAAATAGAACTGATTTTAACACACAAACAATTCCAAAAGCATGAATGAATCGGGCTTAAAAAGTTAAACAATAATGGAAATGCAAATGAAAATAAATTATGTATTAGCCATGCACCACAATTAAAACAACAAATCATATCATATTTACATAATTCCTGAAAAGATAATCCACCATTCACCTAGCAAATTTATTATTATACACATGCAATAATTAGGCCGGGACATGCAACGCCATTTTTTCACTGTTAATTTAAGCTTTCCCAACTAAAATTAAACACACTGCTTTTAATTACATATTATGTGCATTATGACTCACAATCAGTCTAATTTTAACATAAGGTGTTTAATTTTGTTTTGGTTTTTTCACACAAAGAGAATTTAAATAATTCCCTCCGTGTGGTTAAAAGCTTTAAATCCTACCTTCAAGAATCAGTATGGTAGGGGGTGGTACAGTGAAATTGGAATTCTCTCTACACAAGGGCAATTCCGTGGTACCACTTTCGGTGGTGGTACTTCCCTCGTCCACGTAGTCGCCCTCAAAGCCACCCAGTATAATTTCATAGTCACTATTAGAGGAATTCTCTTTGGAATCGCCCATACAGGGACACTCGCATACGCAAGATTCCTCCCAATGGGGACAAGCGCTGGTCTCAGGCACAGGTGTCGCGTCTAGATTGACGTTTGGCTCGCCACTTGCAGGTATAGACAAAGAAAGCACATAAATCGAGGTGTTATTAGCAGAATCTGGCTCAGTGTTTATAGTGACGTTCACTTGAATTCGATTTGATGAAGATGAAGCGTTCAACAAAGGCGGCACATTTATATGTTTATATGTGGTGTTGGTATTGTTATTAAGCAACACTGGATCATTGAAAGAATTTTTCTTCAACCCCAAATCAACATCATCCAAAGGAAACACCGACAAATTCGAATCAGTTAACTCCTTTGAGTTGATTTCCGTTTTATTATCTTTAAACTTGGGCTCATCTTTGTTTATATTCACTATTTCAATCTCTTCACTGCCGAAATTGTATATAGGAGAATCGTGCTGTAATTCCGATGAGTTAAAGGTATTTTCAGGCTTAATTTGTGCCTTAAACTTATCCTCATTTTTGTTGGATTCTTGAAACATCGTCCCAAGTGAAACGTCATCCAACGCCAACGACTGACTTGAATCCTCCTTACTTAAATAATCACCATCATCGTTAATACTACTCATGGTGGTTGCCTCACTAGTAACATCATCTAAATCGTCTGTTACACTCGTTAAATCATCTACCATAGTCGATATAGATATAGCTACTTCCGTCGTTACGGTAACGTCAGTACTAGCCACTGCGGTAGTGGAATCAAACTCAGGAAAAGTAGTGGAAAAATCATGCACAAAAGAAGAAGTACTATCATGCAAATCAAAATCATGCTCCTCGTTTAGAGACCTACGTTTTCTAGCATAGAAAAACCGTTGCAGATAGTTACCTCCCGAGGATCCGGCCACGTTATTGGTTGACGTAGTGGGTTGCTTCGGGCGGCTGATTGTCGTCGATAGGTTGTTGGTCGTTTCCGTGGATTCCGCAGTTTTCGATAGCGGAACGATTTCCGTGTTGTCTCCGACCAGCACCGAGCACGGTTTGGCGTTCTGATATGACCAGTTCAATATGCTCGAAGCTGGAAGAAAAGTAAGCATTAGCTTTCCGTTGCTATGATCGGGGTTTGCAATCCAGCTGGATTTTTGCTGGATCAACATTAATCCAGCTGGATCTGGATCCAGCAATTTATAAATTTAAAAAATCTAATACTTTCATTATTATTTTTATTTTTATAAAAAACCTAAAATAGGTACTATATAGTAAATGCATATGATCCACACCTCAAAGTCCCACCACGTGACCACGTACGGAACGCAGTCTTTTGAAAATTTGGCATTTAAGGCTTTTCAGGTTATGTATCTGTCAAAGTATAGTCAATGAAAGAAATAATATTTATAGTGTTACCGCTTATGTTTAAGCGTTAAAAGTTAATAAATCTTTATGGTATCACAATAACAATGGTTGGTTTAAGAATTTAGCAATATAAATACTGCATTTAATGAAATTCCAAAGTGTAAGGTGCAATATAAGTGATATTTTTCTGCATTGGGTCTAATTTCTCCATAAAATAGTTTTAACTAAATAGCATTTATTAAAAAAATCTAACTTCCCTATTATGAAATAAGAATATCTGTATCAAAGGTAGGTTAATGTATTAGAACAAAAAATATCATCTAATTTTGTATTTTAAGGTTAGAAAAATCTATTTTGACCAAAATAAATAAGTGGATTATTTAGAAGTGTGTTAATATGGTCATAATTAAATATAGGTATACCAAATAATTGTTGAATATGGTTCAAATTAAATTGAAGCTTTTATACTTCTAATAACAAAATTTGTACATACCTCTCGGCATACCTACTTTAAGTTAGATTATAAGAAAACAAACAATTTTTAGAGAAAATTGCAATGTGAAAATATTTAATACTCCTATGACATGTGATTTATTAAAAATTTTAAAGTTATAATGATTTTTCGATGTAGATCAAGTTCAGTCAGTCAGTCAGTATTGACAAAACTTTATGTAGGTACACTTTAAGCTGGATAAGTCTTTTAAATAATCCAAAATACTTATTTATTTTGGTCAAAATAAATTTTTCTAACGTTAAAATTACAAAATTAGATGATATTTTTGTTATAATATATTAACCTACCTTTAAAACATATATTCTTATTCCATAATAGAGAAGCTAGATTTTTTTTAATAAATGCTGTTAATTAAAATTATTTTATGGAAATATTTGGACCAAATTCACAAAAATATTACTTATTTGGCACCATACACTTTAGAATTTCATTAAATGCAGTATTTATATTCTTAAATTCCTGAACCACCATTGTTATTGTAATGTTATAAAGATTTATACATTTTTAACGCCTAAACATAATATTATTTCTTTCGTTGACTATACTTTGACAGATACATAACCTGAAAAGCCTTAAATGCCAAATTTTTAAAAGACTGCGTTCCGTACGTGGTCACGTGGTGGGACTTTGAGGTGTGGAGCATAGTACCAATTTATAGAAAATTAATATTAAATAATAAATTAAATAAAATTTTAATTTGACAGCATATAGGTACATTAATTAATCTAATTTACTGATATTGATAACTAAAATTTTTCATTATTTTTTTAAATTTAAAAATAGTAAATATTATTTTTAGGACTGAAAACTTTTATGAAGAAAAACATTGCACTATTTTGCATATTTCAACATTTATCCACATTTTAACCCCATAATATGAATTATATCTACTGGACAATTAAATATATGTAGAACATTAAACTGATTTGCACTATAAAAGCTTGAACAAAATGAATGTTAATATTATAAAATAATTATCTTTATTAATTTTTAATAATAGTTATCATTACAAGTTTTCTATTTTCTGTAATGTAATGTTTATAATTAAATTAAATTTAAAATTCGGTCAAATTACTCCCAATTTTTACAACAAACAACCCGGGCATAAAACTTTAACAAGCGAGAGCGAAAAGTGCGGTGTAGAAAGGGGTGTAGCACGTGTCTCAAGCGTCTGGATTTGTCGCCATTATAAGAATAGTTATGGAAAATAAGACAGTTTTTAAGAAGTTTCGTTGTCTGTCATAATTATAGACTAAAACAATAAATAAAACAGTTTTTGTAATTAAAAAGCACCTTTTCGGTGAGTAAGCCCAAAACAATTTAGTTACATCCCCTTTCTTGGTAGAAAGAACCCAACCAAATGCACCTCTCAGCTGTGCGCTGGTTTATTTAGTTCAGGTAAAAATTTACGCATGCTTGGGTCCGCCGATGGCCGAAAAGGCCCATTAATCAAGTGTGTAAGAATAGCTATGCATTGTGAATGTGCCATTGTTGATTTTTCGGCACAGTAGACGTAGTGAACGTGCTTTCGCAAGATTTCCAGGAATTTATACTTCTGTGTATGCCAGCCTGTCGCATTGTGAGACATTTTTCCACACTCCACTGGTCGCATTAGTGGAAATATCGGGTCATATTTCACCTTCGAGAGGTTATGGATTGGAATGGATATTGTACGCTATGAAAGCGTTGCAAATGTAGGTATTATTGTGTTAAATACAGGGTGTTATGTAATTAATGATATATATTAAAATACTGAATACCTTTTGACATAAGGAATAAAGGAAAAATATTTTAAAAATCATTTTTCCAAAGATAAAGAAAAAATATGCATTAGAAGTTTTATATATTTTTTGTGATACGCTACTGGTTACACACTTATTTATCTCTGCACACCTGTATTTTGTGAGTACATAGATACCAACCAACAAAGTAGCTATGCGTTGCCAGATGTAAAAAATTGTTACTAAAAATGTTTTTTGCAAAAAATAAATAAAAACTCAATAAATACAAGTTTTATGCCCTTAAAGCTCTAATACCCTTCTGTATTTATTTACTGATCCAGCTATTAGCTTAAGCAATGATTAGAAAATTTAGTACCTTTGAAATTTGAAATCCATAACCACAAAATTAATTTTTTACACAGTTTTTTTCTCTGTTTACACAGATGAAATTGGGACCAGTTCACAGGTTAAACTTTAAACATTTAATTTGTGTAAATAAATCCAAAAGCACTTCCCTTAGTTAAGATATTTACAATTTGAAAACATAACCTAAAATTTAAAAGAAATGCACTAGATTCTGTAATAAAAGTTGGCAGATTTTGTTTGAATTTACCTTCAGTACAAAAATGAAATAACCAACAATTAATAAAAACGCCAAATTGACAATTTGCATTGTTAATTTTGTCATTTTTGTAATTAAGCTAAATTTAAACAATGTTTGTCAACTTTTTTGAGAGATTTTGGAAACTGTTGTTACCAACCATAACATAATAAATCCACCAGATTAACCTAAAGTTCCTAGTCGATCAGTGGCGTACTTTTTGGTAGGATAAAGGTTACTATAAATTATTTTTAGACTTTGGAATTTAGAAAAAAAAAGTTTCAGGTGCTTCTTTATGGACCCTAAGGAACAACCCATTTTAATAAATAACATTAATTACATAACACCCTGTAGATTCTCTTACCTGAGATGTAGGAGAGGGTGGCAGTGAGGATGATGGAAAGCATGATGAAAATGATGGCGGTGCATTTCCACGTGCACCGCGTGGCCAGGCCTTTCCGGAAGTGGAAACGGCTGGGTTGCGGGAAGTGCGTGGAGTTAGGTCTGCGCAGGTTGTTTCTCACGGGGAGGCACGGCACCTGGCCGCCGTACGACATCGGCATGCGATCGGGATTCTTCGTTTCCTTCGAAGGACTGCTGCACGACGACTGCGATTTGTAGTCGATCGTCGAGGTTTTCGGGTGACCTGAAGAAGAAGAAGAAGAATGCTTTTAAGAAATCGCTGAAGTTTTATGTTTTTTTTTAATAAAATTATGGGAATTTTAGGAAACTTAAAACCAATGGATATAATTTCTATTTTAAAGTTCCATTCCATTGAAATAACATAAGAAATTAAGGATATTTTTTCAATTTGGATGCTCTTGTTAAGTACTTGCAACAATTTTAATACAATTCATATATTTAGACCTGTACTATGCTCCACACCTCAAAGTCCCACCACGTGACCACGTACGGAACGCAGTCTTTTGAAAATTTGGCATTTAAGACTTTTCAGGTTATGTATCATTCAAAGTATAGTCAATGAAAGTTATCGCTTATGTTTAAGCGTTAAAAGTTAATAAATCTTTATAGTATCACAATAACAATGGTTGGTTTAAGAATTTAGGAATATAAATACTGCATTTAATAAAATGCTAAAGTGTGTGGTGCCAAATAAGTGATATTTTTGTGAATTGGGTCAATATTTCTCTATAAAATGGATTTAACTAAACCGCATTTATAAAAAAAAATCTCACTTCTCCATTATGGAATAATATTATCTGTATCAAAGGTAGGTTAATGTATTAGAACAAAAAATATTATCTAATTTTGTATTTTAAGGTTAGAAAAATCTATTTTGACCAAAATAAATAAGTGGATTATTTGGAAAAGTGTGTTAATATGGTCATAAATAAATATAGGTACACTAAATAACACTGGTTTACAGTCAAAATGTACCTTGAGTGCGACTATTTTTTTCTGATGTATTTTGGCCTGCTAAACTCGAAAATGACAATAAAAATTTTTTTTATGGCAAGATTTTCCAAATAAAAAATTGTCTTTGATTTTTCGATGCCGGCTTTACTATTTGGGATATATCTCGAGTTTGAAATGGCCAATTTGATTACAACAGATGTCAAATTAAACCTAATTAACATAATAACAAATGTAATTGTATAAATGCCCAATTAGTCAATAAGTTTAGGTGCAATGGGGCCAAATATCGAGAAAAAGTCAATTTTTTGGACAAAATTGGAATTAAGTATTTACTATTTTACCAAAAAGAAGCAAAAATCATTAAAATATGCCCTTTTTTAAAATATCTACAAGTAGTAATTCTATGGATAAATGTCAAAGTTATGACAGTTTATGTACAGGTACGTTGTGATATCTTCTTTTTAAAGTGTTTCGTATTACAAAATACCGCCCGCCTAACGTTGGCTAACGGAGGGTTCAGATGCAAGTCGGCACGGGTTCCCGTTTATAGAATGAGCTGAAATTTTTACTGGGAGTATATAAACACGTAATAAATATAATTAGAGGGTATGCGTAAAAAAAATAAAAATAAGGGACACCCTAATGTATATATATATATATTTTATCCCTTAGGTGTAAATATGTCTCTGAAGATTCATTTCTTACATTCCCACTTACATTTTTTTCCCAAAAATCTTGGTGACCTGAGTGATGAGCATGGTGAAAGGTTTCATCAAGAAATAAAATCCATGGAGCGGCGCTATCAGGGCTTTTGGAATGAAAGAATGATGGGGGATTATATTTGGTTCCTTGTAAGGGAATCAGATAACGAAAACAGAAGGCAATCTAAAAACCTAAATTATTTTTAATTTACAATAGTATTGTATATTAAATTATATTATAATGATATATAGAGTGTTCCATTTAAAATGAAACATCCTGAATTTTTCGGAAACTAAAAGAATTTTGAAAACTCACGAGACACATAAAGTTTTATATCGAGGGAGATTTTGCCGTTAATGCTATTAATGCCAAAATTTGGTTTCCCACCCTTATCCTCTATTCCCAGGAGCTTTTCCCTTAATAATTTGTACATATCTAAAAAATGAACTGACCAATTTAAAAAAAATAAAATGCCGTTTAATAGGGATTTTCAAGACCTTTAAAATAATGTAGTACTCTGTACCCCTTCTCTATTTAAATTCTTAAGGGGGTAACTCCGGGGCGCAGAAGGTAAAGGTGGGAAACCAAATTTTGCCTTAAAAAGTTTTCCCCCTCGATATAAAACTTTACCTCTCTCTGCGTTTTTTAAAATACTTCTATAGTTTCCGAGAATTTAGGGGGGTTAGTTTTAAAAGGAACACACTGTATATTAATATTAAAATATAAAATAAAATTTATTTAACAGTAAAAAGGTTCTAATAGGCAAATAGAACCTTTTTTTTTTAAAAACTTAATTTCGGAAAAAAATTTACCTGTCCACTTTTTGCATTAACCCCTTTAATTATAATAATTATCAATAGATTTGTTTTAAAAATATCTTGTTTTCTTTATAACAGTTTGAAAAAAAAATATCTTGTTTTCTTTATAACAGTTTGAACTCCACGTAGATAATTTAAAAATTGACATATTTTGTTGATTTGTATTCATCCTTGGCAAAGAAAATAATGTTACATTCTCATTTTTCTCCAAAAAAAACGACTTTTTCCAATATTTGAGCCCATTGAACTTAAGCTTATTAACTGATTGGGTACTAATAAGGTGATATTTGTTGGCGACTCAAATATGTTTAATTTTAAACTTTTTTCAACCAGATTGGCCATTTTTAACCCGAGATATGACCCAAATTGTAAAGCTGCTTTCTTAAAGAATCAAAATATTAAAGAAAAAATTTTATCTCAAAAACCTTGCCATAAAATTTTGTTTTTTTGTGATTTTTAAGTTTAACAGGTCACAATACATTAGAAAAAAATAGTGGCAGCGAAGGTACATTTTTTTAATTTTAATTTGTAAACCAGTGTAATTGTTGAATATGGTTCAAATTAAATTGAAGCTTTTATACTTCTAACGACAAAACTTGTGCATACCTCTCGGCATACCTACTTTAAGTTAGATTATAAGAAAACAAACAATTTTTAGAGAAACTTGCAATGTGAAAATATTTAATACTCCCATGACATGTAATTTATTAAAATTTTTAAAGTTATAATGATTTTTCGATATAGATTAAATTCAGTCAAAGCTTTATAACTATTTGTATTGACAAAACTTTATGTAGGTATACTTTAAGGTGGATTAAAAAAACTACCACATTTTTAAATACCATATTATAGTCTTTTAAATAATCCAAAATATTTATTTTGGTAAAAACCTTAAAATTACAAAATTAGATGATATTTTTGTTATAATATATATATTAACCTACCTTTAATACAGATATACTTATTCCATAATAGAGAAGCTAGATTTTTTTTAGTTAAAATTATTTTATGGAGAAAACCAGATATTTGGACCAAATGCACAAAAATATTACTTATTTGGGCCATACACTTTAGAATTTCATTAAATGCAGTATATTATATTCCTAAATTCTTAAACCAAATAATGTTATAAAGATTTATACATTTATAACCTTAAATGCCAAATTTTCAAAGGACTGCGTTCCGTACGTGGTCACGTGGTGGGACTTTGAGGTGTGGAGCATAGTACCTACGTCATCGTATAAAAAATAGTATTTTTACCTTTCACGGCAAAACGGTTAAAGTTACAGGTAACAAGTTAAAACGATTTTTATAGGAAATGTAATTTCCTATAAAAAAAGTCCTTTAAAATAATTCAATAAAATTTATAGTTTGATAAATATTAATAAACTAATTAGTTCTATGTTGTTTTACGGCAAAACAGTTAAAATTACAGGTAAAAAGTTGACAAGTATTTTATAGGAAATTTAATTTTCTATAAAAAAGGTTCCTTGAAATATTGCAATAAAGTTTACAGTTTAAAAGATATAGAGCATTCCTTAAATTTTGATAAATATTGATAAACTAATTAGTATATGTTTTTTACGGCAAAACGGTTAAAGTTACAGGTAAAAAGTTAACACCATTTTTATAGGAAATTTAATTTCCTATAAAAAAAGGTCCCTAGAAATAATTCAATAAAATTTACAGTTTAAAAGATATAGAACACTCAATTAGTTTTGATAGATATTGTCATATTAATAAACTAATTAATGCTATGTTGTTTTGCACCAAAACGGTTAAAGTTACAGGTAAAAAGTTGACAAGATTTTTCGGCACAACCGCGGTTAAAAGTACAGGTAGAAAGCAAATATACTTTAAAGGAAAATTTAATTTCCTACAATAATAGTTTTATGCATCAATGCAATAAAATGTATAGGTAGTTTAGAAGATATAGAGCATTTAACAAATTTTATAGTCAACCAATTCGTTTTATTTAAATTTGGATAAATGCATAGAATCTTTTTTATATAACCTAACATCATAAAAGAAAGTTGCTCCCCCAAGTTATAAGCTGTCGTATCAAATTTAAGAACGATACAACGTAACGAACAAAACCTAATGAAAACTTAATAACAACCTTCCCTACAAGCAAATAAAAAATATAATTGAAATTCCCCGATCATTGTGGCATATGTTCGGCGGCCGTATAATTTACAATTAAATTTGAAAAATCTGAGGCACGCTGTCCAGCTGATGGTTAATTATACGAACTGCCAAACATATGTTGCCGTTTTTTTAATGAAAACAAAAAGGCAGACATGCCCGAGCGATTACGAATTAGGCTCTTTTTCCTCGAAGAACCTTTTCGTCGAAAGAAGTCAAGAGGGTCTACCTGCAGATTTTACGGTTCACAAAAGTGTGTTTCTACCTGAACTTTGGACTATTTTAAAACCAAATTCATGGAGTTCAGTACATGTGGAGAGAATGTGTGCGATGTAACGATTATTTGTCTGTTTTTTTTCGTCTAATCAGTTGTGTGTAGAGATGTTCCGAGCCACCCAAGTGTTGGACCCTCGTCGTAAAAAAGTGTTTCGTAAAATTAGTTTTAACTGATGATCACATAAAAACTTTTCAGACCATCTGTTTCGGAATTTTTTACGAGTTTCGGCATAAAAAAGTTAATAGAAATTTAAACTTGTTCTCTTATTACCCAAAATTACCATAAGCACTTTCTGTTGTTTAACAATAACAATAATTTTGTGCCTAT